CAATATGCCTACATGTGTGATCTCAAAAAGACCCTCGATGCAGGGGGTCACTGTGTGCTGGAAATGCCTTCGGGAACTGGCAAGACAGTTTCGCTACTGTCGTTGATCGTCGCCTACCAACAGCACTATCCGGAGCACCGTAAGCTCATTTACTGCTCCCGAACCATGTCTGAGATCGAGAAAGCTTTAGCGGAGTTGAAGGCTCTGATGGAACATCGTGCTACGGAGTTGGGCCATGTGGAGGAATTTCGAGCGCTGGGCCTGACTAGTCGGAAGAATCTGTGTCTTCACCCTTCAGTGAAGAGAGAGAAGAGTGGTACCGTGGTTGATGCCAGGTGCAGGAGCTTGACGGCTGGATTCGTCAAGGAGAAGAAGGAGCGAGGTGAAGACGTTGAGCTTTGTGTTTACCATGAGGTAGGACTTTGCTATCTGCAATACAACATTGAACTAGCTAACAGGCCTAGAACCTTGACTTACTTGAACCGCATAACCTCGTCCCCCCGGGTGTTTTCACACTGGACGGATTGGCAAGATATGGAGAAGAGCACAAGCAATGTCCCTACTTCTCCGCTCGGCGCATGGTAAGATCTTGAGCGAGTATCACCATACAAATTTTTCCATTTTTAACAAACTTCACTAGATGCCGTGGTGCAATATTATTATATATTCCTATCACTATCTCCTCGATCCGAAAATTGCCGAACGAGTATCTCGAGAGCTCTCGAAAGATTGCATCGTGGTCTTTGACGAAGCGCACAACATTGACAACGTCTGTATCGAATCGCTCAGTATAGACCTGAGCGAGGATTCCCTACGAAAAGCGACACGGGGCGCAAACAACCTGGAACGCAGGATCGAAGAAATGAAGAGCACCGATGAGGAAAAGCTCAAGAACGAATATTCAAAATTGGTGGAGGGGCTGCAGGAAGCTGAGAAGGCACGGGAAGAAGATCAATTCATCTCGAATCCGGTCTTGCCAGATGACCTACTAAAGGAAGCCGTTCCTGGTAACATCCGCCGGGCCGAGCATTTTGTCTCTTTCATGAAGAGATTTATCGAATATCTGAAGACTCGGATGAAAGTCACCCATACCATATCCGAAACACCTCCTTCTTTTCTCACTCACTTAAAAGACCTTACCTATATTGAACGGAAGCCTTTGAGGTTTTGCGCTGAGCGTTTAACGTCACTTGTAAGGACGCTGGAACTTATCAACATTGAAGATTATCAACCTCTTCAAGAGGTAGCCACATTTGCAACACTGGTCGCAACTTACGACAAGGGATTCGTTCTTATCCTTGAGCCCTTCGAGTCCGAAGCGGCTACTGTACCAAATCCCATCCTCCATTTCGCGTGCTTGGATGCCGCCATTGCTATCAAGCCGGTGTTCGACCGCTTCAGCTCTGTGATCATTACCTCGGGAACTTTGTCGCCCCTGGAAATGTATCCGAAGATGCTGGGGTTCGACGCTGTTCTGCAAGAATCCTATAGCATGACACTTGCTCGACGATCTTTCTTGCCCATGATCGTCACTCGAGGCTCAGATCAAGCACAGGTTTCATCTTCGTTTGGGATTCGCAATGACCCTGGTGTTGTGCGAAACTACGGAAGTCTAGTGACCGAGTTTGCTCGCATCACACCCGACGGTGTTGTCGTTTTCTTCCCCTCTTATCTGTACATGGAATCAATCATCAGTATGTGGCAAGGTATGGGTATTCTGGATCAGATCTGGAACTACAAATTGATTCTTGTCGAAACTCCTGACGCACAAGAATCTTCACTCGCCCTGGAGACTTACCGAACAGCGTGTTGCAATGGACGTGGCGCGATCTTGTTCTGTGTCGCTCGAGGCAAAGTCTCCGAGGGTATTGATTTCGATCATCATTACGGTCGTGCAGTGCTTTGTATTGGTGTTCCCTTCCAATACACCGAATCTCGGATTCTGAAAGCTCGTCTCGAGTTCTTGCGTGAGAATTATCGTATTCGAGAGAATGACTTTTTATCTTTCGATGCGATTCGACATGCCGCCCAGTGTCTGGGTCGTGTCCTGCGTGGCAAGGACGACTACGGAGTCATGGTGTTGGCAGATCGTCGATTCGAGCGCAAGCGCCCTCAACTACCCAAATGGATCAACCAGGCAATGTTGGACAGCGAAACCAATCTTAGCACTGATATGGCTGTATCAAATGCCAAGAACTTCCTGCGGACCATGGCCCAGCCTTTCAGATCGAAAGATCAAGAAGGCATTTCCACCTGGGGCTTAGCTGATATCGAACGCCATGAGGCAAAGAGAAGAACCGAGGAAGAGCGGATGATGAGAGAGGAGGTGAATCACGGACACGCCATGGAAGGGATGATCCCATCCGCATCTCGGATCGTCGTGGACGAATACGACGACAACATTGATGCAGACCTCATGATGCTCGATGCGCCATAAAATAATGTTGTTTGTTCTTTACATAATGAGTCATCTATTGGCATGGGCTGGGCGTTTGGAATTGGGCATGGTGCTATTACCACGGTGTTTCTGAGGAAACCATTTACGTTGCAATTGAAGACAAATTTCCTAAACATTCTGAGGATCTAAGCAAATTTTGTAATATAGCAAATGATCCGAAGCATTCATCCTCAATCATTTCATTTCCTTCATCTCCTTCAATTTTCCGTATATCTTGGTGGTTCTTCTGTGATAGGATCCAAAGGGCTATAGAGGCCTCAGTCCTAGTAGAGAGGCGTCTCTGATTTTTTAAAAATAAAATATCACTGTAACCAAATACTAATCCGTGTTTCTCTATGTCCATTAAAAGTTCGGAAGACAACCTTCAACCATCAATATAAGAAGCATTTGAACGCAAATTTTGCAGTCGAACCGCTATATCTACTGAGTAGAGACATGCTTCCCGACTACAGCATGCTTGATATTATTGTGTGAAAAGGGACACCTCTCCGATTGCTTCCTTGGGATATCTTTTTTTATTTCTCGGGGTCAGTCATATTCCTTAGACGTCCATCTAAGATCTCCCGCTTGATAGTAGGTTTGTTCACTTATCAGCCTCAAAAATCACCTTATGGGCCCGCATGTTATCGAAATCGTCATATCTGCCGAAGGGTCAATTGATAATAGGGTGTCAATATCCGAATGAGAAGAACTTACGCCTGAACAGCCTGTGAGAGGGGACGGATATCTTGAGACATGAAGCTAGGAATCGTTAGACTCGCAAAATATGGAATACGGGGTAAGTCAAGCTCACTTGAGGACGGCCTGCTTCTTTTCGAAGAGATCCATCGCCGGACCAAAGATACCTAGCACAATTAAGCAAAACAATGAAAGCAAGATGTAGCATTAGACATACTCCGAACAGGGCATCGGCCCATCTGTAGACGAAGGTTCTTTGCGTAGGCTTCATTCCCAGTCCACGGGATATCCTGATTGTGGACGCCGACACTCGATATCCGGCCCCAGGGCCGTAACAAATCGAAGCCCATCCTGAGAGCACTACTATGTCCAACGACTTCGATAACAATATCCGCTCCACGGCCGTCAGTAAGATCTTTTACCCTTTGACACAACCCTTCTTCGTCCTCTTTGAAATTCCAAGCCTCGGCTCCTAGACTCTGTGCAAGCGCTAGTCTGGAAGGCACACTATCGATTGCGATCAAATTCTTCGGTTTGTAATCGAGGGCACTTATAAGTGCGCAGATACCGACAGGACCGCAGCCAAATAGTAGTACCGTGCTTTTCTGAATCTCCTCCTGTGTCGTGCCAGAGAAGGCGTTCAGAGAAGCAAAGTAACCGGTAGGGAATATATCGGCCATAAGAACTAGCTTCTTCTCATCGATTGAAGCTGGAACTTTGGCAAGAGTCGAATCGGCTAGTGGGATACGCACATACTCGGCCTGGCCACCATCAAGTGCAACAGTGCCGAATAGCTGGCTTCGAGCGCAACGAGAGGAGAAACCACGCTCACAGTAGAAACATTCCCCACAACTGGAAGTGAAGGGGGAGACTACTCGGTCTCCCTTTCGGAAATTCTTGATGTCGGAGCCAAGCTCGACAACTTCACCCGTAAACTCATGGCCCATGATAAACTCTGTGCCAGACTTTTGGTGGCCGCGAAAGACATGGAGTTCACTATGGTAATATGAGAGATTGTGCGGTGTTAGGGATAGTTCTTGGTTTCTTACCTGCCGCATAACGCAGTGTATCGCACCTTAAGGATGAGATCTGTTGGATCTTGGATCTGAGGGATGGGCTTTTGCTCGATGGCTACCTTCGACGGGCCCTTGAAAACGACGGCTTGCATTTTGAAGGATTATGAACGTTCCTATGGTTTTGTACAGGGTGTGTTGGAAGGTTTGATGACGTTGCAACTGAGATGCAAGTCTCATTTTAAGTCGCAGGTAAATAATTATATGCGTAATCCGGCGACATCACCGAGGCACCTCGGCAGATCTCAGATTTATGCTAGCGCGGCAAGGAAACTAGTATTAACGGCATTTTTGGATAAATGCATTGCAGAGAAATTAAAATGGGTACTTTTGAACTGATACTTAAAGTATTCCAGAGGTAAAACTGGTGAAGCTACTGGGTGCCAGAGAGAGAGAGAGAGAGAGAAGAAAGGTTGATTCCTACAAATCTCCAGAGAGCTACTTATCTAGGTGGAGGTGTCCACCATAACAAAAACTGACCTTCATCCTTGCAAATGAAGGAAGTATCAAGGGCGTTTTTCATAAATAGTTAGTTATACGATCCCTGATTACATGGATTGATTAATAAATCCTCCGGTATGCCGACGTATATGCGACATCCACCTCTAGTTATAAAGCTCCCATTCCATAGCTTAGCTCTCGTCTCTTCTAAAATCACCAATACAATTCACATTGTATCTCTCCCGTTTCAGTAGTAGATTCAGCCTTGGCTGGATACTGTGGGCCCCCAATTTATGAGAACAGTGGTTGAAGTGGCGTATGTTGGTGTGTGAATGTATTTTGGGAAGATGCTAGTAATTCATTGAATTCTTTTCCCACTCATGACTTCCATGCTTCAACAATTGAGGTGTTCGATACCGCAGCTCAACCCTGGATTCCTCAGACTGAATCTTCACGTTAACCCAGTAGGCTCTAGCAGATTCAGGAATGATGTCCCCCGGCTTTACTCCAGTTGACTCTATATCAATCAGTCTCTTTAAGGCCACAGTTGTCGCAGATGCCCAGTAGTCATCTTCTGGTCGTTTGTCCATTATATAAAGGATATCACGACGGACCTGCCAATCGCGACATTTGGCCGCAGACCATAAGAGAGTAGGCAAAACAGAGTACCTATAGCTAAACGGCGAAATCGCGATGTCACTTAAACTCGTGGCCGAGTCCGCTAGGGCTCGTGCAAGTTTTGCGACATGCTGAAACTGTTCCAGGTGATCATCGTAAACTATCTCATCTGGTGGTTGGTTTTTAGCGACAGCCAGCTTAATTTCAATGACATCGATCAGTAATGAGAAGACTTTTAGTGAATCGCAGTCCTCTGGCGCAAGACCATCCAATTCGACGAGGACGGCTAGAAGATGACTTCTACAGAGCCGAAGCTTAGTCAAGACTACTGCCGCGCCGCGGCCGATGGAGCTTGCTGGTCCAATATCAAACCCGCAAGTAGTGTAATCCAGTATGAATCCCGAGACGAGAGTTGAAAATTTTTGGACATGGTCCATCTGATCAATGCCCGAATAGAGAGGCGGGGTAATATTTGATGGAGCCGCTGTAGTGTTTGGGGATATCCGATACTCGCTATTAAGTTGTGCGGAATCCTTAACAAATAACTCGGAATAAGAGCAGAAGGACCAGTAAACGTGCATCTGGGAAAAAGCCTGTGTTAGGGCCAGACTAGTAGCACCTTTATCTTGCTGAATATCCCATTCTTTGAAAAGTTTATAACCGGAGGCAAGGTGACGGCGAGCAGAATAGAGATCTCCCTGGAATAGAGTAAGGAGAGTAAAAGTCACACATGTGACTAACACTACTTGCTTCGGGGTGCGTCTTGGGCTGTACGGAGTGAGATCCTCCCGAGCGAGACTTTCTCGAAGACAAGCAATGGCTTTTGTAGAGTGCCGAAGAGTCAGACTGGGGCCCCGATCTTCTTTAAAGCTCGTTGGGATCCGTTCCAACTGGGTATGCCACGCACTCATAGCGATCGAAGCATGACGGACAGCAGGATGATTTTCGCACATTTGGAAAAGCAACCCCTGCCAGAATGAGTTTTGAAAGTAATGCGAGAATCGTACTGCTGTGCGGTTGTGGTAGAAATCCAGATACCATAGCTCGTTCCAGTTAAGGTCGATCTGGCAGGCACTTGCCAAAGGCAGAGGAACGGCCGTGACCGATGGACAGTTCGATGGCCGAACTGTCAAGCAATATTGGTTTTGCAGAGCTACATTGTTCTGATTTTTGGTTTTGGATTCACGCCACTCGCGTGTTCTCTTATCAACGGCTTGTTCATAACCGTCGCATTGCCTGCCTGTGCTCGTACATATGAGACAAGCGGGATGTGTTTCGTCACATCTCTTATGTCGTATCCTTTACAACATTTAGTTGCTGTGCAAGATCAAGTTTTTGGGGAACTCACTTGCACGTCCTACAGCCTGAGCGCGATTTTGAGTGCTGGGATCTTTTTCTGTGCGGTGGGTGTTCAGACATTCTGCTTGCAAACAAAAGTAGGATCTGTATATCATATAAATCCTTTATTGGAGCAGGTTCAATATCTCAAGTGATGAGGACTCGATCAGGATCAGCGGCATAAAAGGCCAGAGTTGATCAAACCCCGTCGTTCACCACTGCGTTAGGGAACACGTGATGACGGCCATATACGAAGACGTATAGGGGTCAGGCGTCAAAACCCAATTTTGGGGGGATGTTGATGCCTGAATGCCTGTATTACCACCGCTTTATACACCGCTCTATACAGTGTACTGTAAATTGTTAATACATCAACCTGCCTAAATGAAGCTTTTTGACACCATAAACATAAGGCATCCACATATTTCTGGGTGGTTGTAAGTCACAAGAATGAAGCTCTTGACCTCCATACAAATCAATCCATATTTTTGGCCGGTTTAATTGATTCGTATGGAGGTCAAGAGCTTCATTCTTTTGACTTACAACCACCCAGAAAATGGAGATACATTGATTTGTATGGTAGCAAAAGGCTTCATATACCCTACCTAACAACGCTGGGAGAAGCCAGGTACTTTGATTATTAAGGAACGTGTAATAGTAATTCAGGTATTTATATTTTTCTGTCGTTCTAAAATAAGGCATTAAGGCACCAAGGTCCTCTATTGGCCTATGTGTTACCGCCTTATCGGGAAAAAGTACGATTTCTCATAGGTACACCTACTTATAGGCGCGTATATGTATTCCCACCTCTTAAAGGTAAGAGAGAGAAGGCAATACGCCCTGTATTGGCTATCTGGGCAACTAGCTGCTAAGAGGGGGAAAGAAAGGAGTAGAGAGAGAGGAGAGAGAGAGCTGGTCTATCTACCACATGAAGAGGGGCTAATGCCCGAGGCATCCATAACACCACCTATCGTGATCTTTATTACTCTGACTTTTATTAAACCCAGAGCCAGTTCAACCCTCTCTAACCGCAGCCGCGTCAAGGATCCAACCACAAAACCGTGTGAATTGTAAACACAATATACCGCGCTGAGGGCTGGCGCGCATTTTTCCCAGGCTTGGTTCAAGCTTAGCGGGCGTGGTCTCGTAACTGCGATTAAGATCTATGTCTACGGAAACTGCAAACACATCGGGGCCCTTCTTTTAGGACACGCGGAAGATTATACCCTCGTTCATGAAGAAGCAGCAATTTCTGCTGGCGTTATGACATCCACGACAACAAACCCTATCTGGCTGATCAAGACATGTTTGCAGCTCGACAAAACACAAATATATACTACCCGGGTCTTCGGGTTGTCAATTCATTCATTACCAGTTCTTGTTAGTCGGCCTGTATAGGCTACTCGTGCTTGACCCAGTGTGGTTGTGTTACCCGTGCTCGGGTAGGCCTGCAGAGGCTACTCGTGCTTGTGTGAACGTGCTTGTGTGAACGTGCTTGTGTGAACGTGCTTGTGTGAACGTGCTTGTGTGAACGTGCTCGTGTTTGAACGTGCTCGTGTTTGAACGCAGTCAGTGGAGCTTTGCCGCACTAGTATATTTCTGCCATATGCTAGCCTTCATAGTGCCATTTTAAAATTCTTCTTCTTCTTCTTCTTCTTCTTCTTCTTCCGTATTGATATTGAATACTACGATCAAATTAGTTAAGCTAAACTTATACTATATATTCGTACACTTTCTATTACTTTAGCTAGTTCAAACGCTGGGAAATGTATGTTATGCTTTACGGGGGTGCCTAAGTACCTTTTGTATAGGTAAGTCATACAAAAGATACCTAATTTCTAGATATTGCATCTGGTGGGGTGGTGGCGTATGGGGCGCTTACCTATCACGGCTAGCGGACCCGCCTATCGTGGGCCCCGGGGCCCCGCCCGGCGTTCATGTACAATTACGTAAGGCCCATAGGCTTGGCCCACGCGCCGATGAGCTTTGTCGCAGTCTAATTATATGTCTAAAAAAGGTAATTATCTAGCCAGTTATACACCTATAGTACCATATCGATACTACTATTTGCCAAATAGTATTTATTACTGTAATGGTGGTTTAAGTTATAGACTAAAACCGATGCAAAAAATTGTAATCTTCCTTAATGACAGAACAGCTGATTGAAATTGTATAAAAATTGGGTTCCAAGCTACCTGGGTAGGTTTTACTAGGGCCCCAGTACTGGGTCCGGGTTGGGTCCCGGGTCGGAAACTTCAACCTAAGTTTGGTTCTGCAGAAGTCAAGTTACTTAAAAAGGTATAGGTCGAAACAGCATAAATTATAAAGTTACCTACAACATACAACATAACTAGTTATAGGATTTTCTATATTTGTCTTGTTTGTCGGCTCTTAAGATATTTAGAGGGCCGTATGTTGTACAACAATAATGAAGGCGGATAAAAGACCCGCCCAACCCTGCAGGCGGGCGGGTACGAGCTCTACACACAAATGCAAGAGCCGGTTAACTAAATGAGATCTAACTATCGTAAACTAGACATAGTTCTATGTATCGTCTTGCATATACGTGCATAACCCCTTTGCCCCGCACTTGTGCTAGTCAAACCTTAGGGCTTAATGATGCGAATGGAATATGTTGTAGACAATGTTGGAATGACTGCAAGGTACTCACCCATGTGTTTGTTTATGGAGGCTTAGAAATATGGGCACTATAGACAGTGGATATTTCTAGTGTTTTATTGCATTGTGAGGAAGGAATTGAAATCCCCATTAAGCGTCAGAAGCAGGATCAACATCGTGCAGGTTCGTGGCTACCTGGAAGGGATTGTCAGAGGCATGATCAAAGCCGTACAGGCTAATGGCTAGCTGGAAGGAATTGAAATCTGCATTATGTGTCAGAAGCAGGATCAACATCGTGCAAGTTCGTGGCTAACTGGAAGGAAGGGTCAACATCATGCAGGCGTTGGCTAGCCGGAAGGAATCGTCAGAAGCAGGATCAACATTGTGCAAGTTCGTGGCCAGCTGAAGAGTGCAGAGTGATTAGCGGTGTGTGTGTAACTTGTCTATCATTTCCTTTCGCTGGATATGGAACTCCACCCCAGCGAGTGAACTTGCAGATATACACATACACAAGAACCCACAATGAGAATTGTGGGACAAAGTGACCCGGCTTCCATCACAGCATACCTAAGCTACTTAAACCCCCCACTCCCACAAGAGTTTGTCCTGGAGTTCAAGTCAGATTTTTACCAAAAGTCAAGCGACCTCAACCAGCATCATGGGCGAAAACACCCCCAAGTTGGAGAAAGTCGAAAAAGTAGAGAAGAAGAAAGGTAACACTCATTGATAAACTACAGCACCTTGGCCCTTCTCCAATAACAGTTCGGCTGACATATATAATAGTTGTTCTGACTATCTTTTAGTATAACAAGCTGTCAAATAGTTCAAGTCCCAAAAGAACTGTCTCTCTTCCGGACGAGTACCGAACTTCGACTTTGCAGGGCCTACGAGGGTACTTGCTGAAAAGTGGTCACCTACCGAAGCAATAGTAAGTTCATACCAAGGTGCAGAACACACTTTCTATGGCACTTAGTTAACCATTTGTAGTCATAGCAATCCATTCTGCAAAGAAGACGGCGCTATTGTCACCGATGACACCACGTTCAATGATTATGCTAAGATGAACGATGATGCGGGCGGCGAGAAAGATGGCATAGTGAGTCTTTGAAATGACATCTATACAACGAATAGTCTTGCTCATCCCATTTAGACGGAGTTCAAACTATACTACAAGACGGTGAAAGCTCCGTCGGGTATGGATGACACATCGAAGGAGTTTCTGGCTAAAGGCCAGGACCTAAGTGTGGTATGGATCACAATTCCCAAAATATTAACCCTATCAGACTGACACCAGAAAAGAGGGATCAAATGGCGTTCTTGAATCCGACCCTCAACAAATTGGAGTCAAAATTCAAATCGGATAGCTGGAAGGCCTCTGCAGGCAAAGTAGACACGTAAGTCTCCAACGAGGTTCTTGTGGTGCGAACATTGATCTAACCCAGTTTAGTCACGCGGCGGATATGGATGAGCGCCAAAGGGGTATCGTGATGCGAAATAACGATTTACTCAGTGGTAAATTCTTTGGAGGAGGAGATTCCAATGACAAGATAGCAACACCCACAAGGGTTAGCCGAGCTCGATACACTGGTATGTCGCATCAGGACTATATCATGGGCACCCGATGGAGGAGTTATAGCCAAGCTAATACGAAACGCTCGGTCGTTTAGCTTTTGCTCTTAAGGAAAGAAAATTCCTGAGTATAACATCACTTTCAAGTCTTCGGTAACACCTCCAGAGGCACCCGAGGTAAGCATATTAATGACGATGCACCGTGTACCCTGTCACTAGTGCCAAGCTAAGCATTTCTAGATCAAATTCCGCATCCCCCGCTATCAGATCTGTGACAGCTCTAAAGTTGAGGTATTTGAAACGCAAAGTTCAATTTCTGCCTCAATGGCAGGGAACGCATTCAGTCAGACGACCATCGAAGCTTCTGCGTTAGTACAATAGCCTACTACTTACATGTCATTGTATACAATACTAACTTAAGATCCAGAGGAGGCGGCGCTTTCGGTGTGAGCGTTGGAGTCAAAGCAGGTGCCACTACCAGTGAATCCAGCAGTTATGACTATGCATCAGCCAAAGATGAGAAATGCATGCATATATCTTACATGGTCAGTTTTCTTATCGTAGAATGGCTGACACAAAGTCTGATGATGCCCTCTAGTTCCCCCGTGCCGACATTTTCCTGGAGGCCGAAGACCTCGAATTGACGGAAGAGTGTAAAGGTTGAATTGGAAAAGGTGCGGAAATCTGATGCGAAGAAAGAAGATGCCGACAATTTCTTCCGCAAATTCGGTTCGTTAAATTCCCGTTGTTCTTGACTGTAAAACACCATCAGCTAATAACTGTTAAATTCCAGGTCATGTTTTTGTCCCCCATGTGCAAATTGGTGGCCGCCTCTACTCAGTGGAAAATACTAAAAGCATTGCCGGGTCCAGCACTGAAGAGAAGGCATCTGCGCTCAAGGCAGCCGCAAGTGCTTCCGTATCTGGATTCGGATTCCAAGCCGAAGTCAGTGCCAGTCATGAAACAACCGAGAACTCGAAGGTGGAAAAATCAAACAGCAGCTCAATGCACTCGATTACGTGACATGCGGACGGTGGAGACACACTTCTTTGCAACAAGTAAGCTGTTTCCAAATTGTCACGGCCAATTGCACGCTGAACTAATTCTCTACAGCCCTCCTGCCTGGTGTCCCACGGTTCAATCATACTACAATTGGAGAGTGATGAATGTCAGTATAATATACTTTACCGTCACGTCGAGAAGCGGGAATCTAACAACTCAATAGCAAATCCGGATGATCGACATCGTTAAGCTGATTGGTCAACTCAAGGGGTACGAAGACATTCCGAGACACTTTGAACGGATCTACTACTCGGCAGTCGAATTCAAGATCTGCCTGTGGGATGCTGCGGGAGGGGCCGATGTGTCACCATATCTTTCACTCCTTAACAACGGTAATGACAGAGCCCTATCGTACCTACAAATGCAGGAACCGATGTTAACAAATCGCAGAACATGTCATCGAGTCCTCAGATGGTGGAGGCGGGAATTACTCTCGTCGCGCCAAAAGACACGCGCTTAAAAAGACCTGGGGCGATGGTGAGCACATGAAGGATGTTTCGATGCAAATTAGCGCACTGAAAGATCAGCTGGTATGGGAGGGTGCTGGATACAAAACAGCAGGGGTAAGTAGCAAATATTCTTCCTTCTATTTACATGGGGACGTCACTGCTCACATTTGACTAGTTTAAGTATGGTGTGCACTACCCAATGCGATTCGTTAAGAGAGACTCGAACGGTCAACGGCTGATCTACGGCGTTCGGCGGACCACCTTGGAGGAACGCTACCAGAAACCCAATTACCTTTACGGAGGACTTTACGAAGAACCAAATGTCTTGGTCATGTTCAGAAATGTGGAAGACGACACGGCTGCAGGCCGAGCTGATAAGATCTGTTCCACTGACCAAGTTCGAATGGACTTCTACGAGGCCCGCACGAGAGAACACATTGGATGGTTACAAAACGACGGGGTTATCGCCTACATTGAGACGGGTTGGAGTCGCAACAATCCCTCCGAGCGGAAGTTCAAGTTTTACTATATCTGATTTGAAGCTGCTTCTCCGCTATTGTTAATGCAAAATCTTCATCAACTGAAGATTAGGATGACTATGCATTTGGACGCACGATTTTTCATCAACTGCAGACACAACTCTTCTTTGGCCAATTAATAGAATGATTGTTCCCCAGTCAGATATTTCTGAAGTAGACTGATACACAAGTGGAAACAGGTAAATCGAGAATAACTCGCTGGATTTACTATATACCTCGTACATCGACATTCTGTCATCATGGTAGTCCAATAGGTTGAATACTTTTATACTCTGCTGTTCGGTATGGATATTGGGTTTCGGAATGTAATATAGTCTCCAGAGGCTATAGCTAGGCTCGGTTATCAATATGGTTGCACGACGTAAGGTAACTATTTAGTTTGCCCGCAAGGCAAGTTGATGCCTCTCGTTCCAGTAGTGCCTATGGCCCGAATTGAAACAGCCCGGGTTTCCATCGCCGTCATCCTGTCTTCTACCTGCGGTCCAAATCCCTGAGGTTGTGGCTCCAACCTTGGGCCCTCAAAGTACAGGCATTCCGTTGAAATCCGAAAGTACCTAATCACTCAACGAACGTCAGAAATAAGCTTTCACGGGTATATCTCGGGACAAAATACCTAGACGCCATTGTAGCATGGAGTGCGAGTCTGCGCAGTGAAGATAGAGGCACAGGCGAAATCACCGCCCGCATTACACTTTGCTGGGGCATCTTCGCCACTCTGAAGCATTCGACTAGCACCCTCACACAGTTTTGTGCAATCATATTCATTTCCGGTCATTGCGTTCTGTGACTTGTGTTAGTTCCCAGACTGAGTAAGCTCCATCGGAAGACATACCGCGCCGTAGAGACAGCAGTGTGATTTGTCAGGAAACAGACATTGACACTGTTTCCCGAGTGAGCAGGTCTCTGCCAAGGTAGTTCCGGCAGTGGCAAGCAGCATCAAGAGACTGAAAACCTTCATTGTGGAAATTGAGGATTGGTTGATTATATGTGAGAAGTTTGGAGGTGATGTTTCGATATTTTGGCGTATCCCGGGGCCATCCTGCTCTATCTATACCACCCTGTAAATAGCTGAATAGCAGTGATCATTTATCCGAAATGGCTCCGAGAAATAATCCATCCCAAATTACTCCGTAAATCATCCTGTGATTATCAGCTAGATAATAGCGTTAACCTAGTTGAATAAGGTAAGTTCCTGCAGATCAGTTCGCTGAAGGTTTGGCCCGGATGTCTCAAGTAGTGCTACTGTTCAATTCGCGTTCGTATATATGAGTGGGTGTATAAATCTCATTTATATGCATATACGGCCTGAATTGGATGCGAAGCCGAGAGTAGGTTAAGCTTTGTAGTTATATGAAGATATCTGACATAACAGTTGTTAACTAGAACGTTAGGTAAGATCTACAGATATTGCTTAACTATGAAGAAAAAGGAAGCCAAGGCAGCTAAGAAACGTGTTAAACGTGCCAGTCGCGGGCCGGTGATCCACTCCGTTGAGATAAAGAAAGGAGACTAGGGGGTCCTACTGTCCTACTCCTGAACCTAAGCATAAGGACTTGAGACATTTGCCGTGTTGCGATCAACCAGATATGATCCTTCGGGGTTTCTGTTGCACTTACATTACCACAGGTGCAATGTCTCACCTCTTTATAACCTCTTTATACCCATTATAGACTGTTTCTCTAGATGTGTATAGAGTGAAAGTCCGATAAACGAATTGAGAGCGCGTGTGGTGAAGAAACATGTACTTTGTCAACCTCCACTCTTCAACATTATAGAAACTTTCCCATGTCTTAGTTGATTCAGGGGGATTGTATGGAGACTAAACACGTGTCTAAACTATTGTGGGCTATAGGCACCAATTCATTAAACTAACTCTATTTGAAATAAAGTGAGAGAAATCTATTCGACAATATATAATGGGGATTAATGATAGTAAATCCATTCATGAGTCGCCCAATTGTCCGTCTAGGACTAACCCTGTGCTTCGGAACATCCATGGAGTATTAGGATAGATAGGTCATGTTATAACATCATTACTTAGGAAAAGATCTATTTATTCGAACTAGTCAAGATGCTAATATGAACAGGACTTTTTTGGTTCCGCTGCACAAAGACAAACTCCAGATCATCCACGCATCAAAGATGAAGCGAAAACACAAAAAGAAAAGAGAAAAAAAAAAGAAAAAATAGCTTTGCATAAACACAATATACACATGAGGGAAAGACAAGAAATACACATTTCAAAACTCCGTCCAGTCAAGAGACTATGCTACAGGAGCAAGAATATCGAAGGAACCAGTGCCGACGGTGCCGACACGACCAACGACAATTCTGCTACTAGGACTCTTGAGGTTATCAACACCCCTCTCGAGCACAACGTCCTTTAGGGCGCCGACAGTAGTCTCGAAACTGGCCCGTGCGAAGGCAGACGAGGCATCCTTAACCAAGCCGTTACGACTGAAGGCCTTGAAGCTACCGGACTGTGTCATCACATCACCGATCAAGTTCAAGTGACGGTTGTCAACGGAGATACTGTGACCACCGAAAACGGCATCCATTTCGCGGACGATGGTGGCCCGAGCAGCTTCCACACCGTACAGGTTGAGCATGTCGTGAATGGAGTTGGTGTAGATCGAGTGGGGCTTGATGATATCCTGGTAATCGCGCATGGCGAGCAGGTTGACACCCTCAGTGAGAATGTTGGCGGGGTCACCCTTCGCCTCATCGGCCGGAACGAAAACACAGTTGCCCATGCCGGGGATGCACTGGATGACGGCGAGGTGGAGAACCTTCTCAACCAGGGGAAGGAGGAGAAGCTTGGGGGTCTCGACGTCGTATTGAAGTTGGATGGTGCACGTGTTGCCGTTCTTAGGGTCGAACTTGAACTTGGTGATCTCCTCGAACTTGCCCATGACATCCTCCTCGCGCGCCTTGCTGTCTTGGGTGATCTCGTCGTCAGACTCATCCTCGGAGTCGGACTCAGAGCTGTCCTTCATTTGCACGTCGCCAGTGGCCTTGGCAGGCTTGCTGCTTTCATCTTCATCCTCGTCTTCGTCAGGGGTGTCTTGGCGTCTGATGATATCCTGCTCGCCGGCGTCGGGTCCTTCGTAGGAGATCTGGTTGCCCCTGTTCTGAGCTCCGGCGGCCCGCTTGGCATCGTCCTCATCATCTTCATTGTCGTCGTCGGCTGGCCGGGCCTCGGAGTCGGCACCTCTTGGTGCCTCCGCGATCTTACCGACCGAAACACCGATTTCAGGCTGGGAAGTTGTGCCCTTGACGCCCTTCTTCTCTTCGTTGCGCTTCTTGAGCTCGGCCTTGGTGAGTTTCACCAAACGAGGGATGAGCTTGGATTGCAGAGCAACCAGAACATCCTTGGTCTCAATGGCGTATTCCTTGGTGTATTCCTCAGACGGGAAGAACTCGATCTCGATGTCGTAGATCTTAGCCTTGGGATGGCCAATGCCAGAGCCAATGCGTTCCTTGACTTGCACCTTGTCAACAAGTTCAGCAATGCTCAGTTTGCTGATAGCCTTGGCGAATTTCTCCGAGTCGTCCTTGGAAATCTCCTCGTTGAGAAGAAGAGTCATCGTAGGTGTCATAATATTGGCACTTGCAGTCATAACAATTTCACGTAGACGGGGAATACCCAGTGTCACGTTCTTTGCCGAATGACCAGCCAAATGGAAGGTGTTGAGAGTCATCTGTGTGGACGGTTCTCCGACGGATTGACCGGCCATAATTCCGACTGCCTCACCGGGGTCAATGATGGACTTCATGTACTTCATGTTCATCAAGGCCTCGAACGTCTTCTTGGTAACCTTGCCCTCGATGTTCTTCTTCTTGTCCTTAATGAGCTTGTTCTTGTTGGCATCCGAGTACTATTTTCAAAAACTGTTAGAATTGCAAAGAATCATAGGGAAGAGATAGCGAGTCCATACCTTCTTTAGCTCCTGGGCGAACGCTTCGGATGTACTTCCAAGGTTTCCTCCAGGGGGGAATTGAGACAACACAGGATCCACGGCATCAATCTTTCCGGTCTTGCGAACTGCCTTCATGGCATCCTTGTGCCAAGTCGTAACATCGTCCTTCGCCAGTTTGTGATAATCATCTGCTTGGACTTGCTTGGAAATGGAGATGTGGTTCTGAGCAAGGAAATCAAAGTCATTCAAGTGCACCTGTTTGGTGATGTCGAGACCGTCCTCTCCGTACAAGAACTGAACAATGGATCCATCTGACGCTTCACGAACAGAGGAGTCGTATTCAGCCTTGAGGCCTTCCATACCCTTGATCAAACAACGTTGCAGGTAACCGGATCTAGAGGTCTTGACGGCAGTATCAATCAGACCCTCACGACCAGCCATGGCGTGGAAGTAGTATTCCTGGGGCTTGATTCCGGTCAAGAAACGACCAGAGACGTAACCACCAGCCATAGGGTGAGTTTCGAAGGCCTTGAATGACGGAAGAGTCTTTCCACTGATCATGAGTGGTACACGGCGACCTTCAAGAACCTGTTGGCCGAGATTACAAGAAATCAGGTTGGCGTTAACACCGGATCCCTTGGCTCCAGATATCGTCATAGACTGCATTTGGTTCCAGGGGAAAGACTTAGAAAGGCCATACGGGAGACAGGCGCTGGTGATTTCAGAGGAGAGCTTGGCAGACCGGGCGTTAGAAACACTATCCAGACCACTTTGCTTGTCGTCATCACGAAGTACCTCCTCCAGTCGTCGGTTCAACTCGGCAGTTTGGTCACCAGGAGCCTGGTCCAAGGTCACATACTTCAGAGCAACTTCGCGACCCATCTGAGGAGCAGTGGCCAACTTCTCCTTGCGGATACGGTCACCCTCCTTGGTCAATCGAAGATCATCGATACCACAACTGAAACCCCGCAGGTTCAGGACGCGAGTGAGGAGTCTTCCAAGAACACCGATGAGCTTGCCAGCAGTGCTGTATCCATAAACTTCATGGATGGCATCGATGAGACCACCGGCGGTGGGACCGAGCTGTTTCTTATCAAGGATACCACACAGGTACTCTCCATCCTGGAAGATAACTTCTCCTTCTTCGTTGTTTTCACCCCAGCGTTCACCGGGGGTTGAGGACTTGCTCTTCAAGGTCAAGCCTCCTCGCTCGGGGGGCTGGATATTCTTGAGGATTGTCGTAATGATTTGCTTTCCGGTCCATAGACACTTAGGCTTGCGCATGGCAGGCTCGACCAGTTGGATCCGGTCAGTGACAATATGCGAATGTTCAGGTCTCAAGCAACTGTATAAGAGCTGGTGATAATCCTCCTCGTCATAGAAACTGTCACGACATGTGACCCACGTTCCCATGGAAATGTGATCTTGAATCAGACCTCTCAGCGGTTTGCCTGATGTAGCAACGAGATACTGGTGGTCGGCATCTGCCAGCATTCTGGCTTCTGCTTGAGCAAGCTCATTTTGAGGGAAATGCATGTTCATCTCGTCACCGTCGAAATCAGCGTTGTAAGTGTTACAATTGGCGTAGTGCATGCGAATAACCCGCTCGTTGGGAAGGACACGAGCCTTGTGACCCATGATGGAGGGTTTGTGCAGAGTTGGCTGACGGTTCATCAAGACGTAATCACCAGTGGTGAGATGACGGTAAACCTTCTTGTTACGCGAACCCTTTTGGCGCCAATTTGATGGTGCGAGCAGTTGGTTGGCAAGTGCCGTGCGCTCTTCCAAATTCTTGAACTTGAGGTTGATGACTTGTCCGTTTTCGTTCTCGATAGAAGAAGCGCCGGGGTATTTGTCAGGACCGTTGATAACCGCCTCCTTCAACTCCCAGAAGTTGTGGTTTGTCACAGGTTCGGGGAAAGTTAACTTCTTGGCGAAGACAAGGGGTACACCAATCTCATTGGGTTCGATGTTGGGATCGGGTGAAATAACACTACGAGCAGCAAAGTTGACACGTTTGCCCATCATGTTCTTTCGGAACAGACCTTCCTTCTTCTCAAGAATCTGTTTGATACCGTTGGGCTGTGCCAAGGCAGCTGCGCCGGTGGCCGAGGTACGATCACGGTCAATCAAACCGTTGACCACATCTTGAAGCTGGACGATTGCTTGAAGAAGATCACTGTAGTTCCGTGCGCGAGACATGGTCTTCTCTTCCTCATTTTGGATCTCTTTACTGATTTGGTTGATGGTGTCACAACCCTTCAAAATCGCATTGAACGAAGTGTTCTGCTGTGCCTCCATGACTGTTCCGGCACCCTGCTGGACTGCGGGGCGGTACTTGTTTGGCGGCACCATAAGACTCTTGATGAAGAACATGTCTGCCGACACAACTGTCACTCCCTTGGGCACAGGACGGGAGTTGTAGACAAGCTGCAGGATCTCATTTTCCTTCTGGAAAAGAAGGTGAAGTGCACCATAGACTTCGGAAGAAGACATGAATTCCTGGCCGGTCGATCCCTGTCCGTCCTGCACGACAGCCACACCACGGCGGATTTCCTCCTCGGCTCCGTGGATCTCAGAAACACCGTTCTTAGACTTGGAGTTCCTTTCTTGCTCGAGAAGGACCATCGTATTCGGTGCCTGGAATCCTCCTTGCAGCATTGCAAGCCTCTGCTTCTCGGGTAATTGCTTTCGGAAGATTTTGTTGTAACGGTCCTTTTTATAGGCGGGAGACGCTCTGCCATAATGTTAGCTAGGAAATCCAAAGTCAAGGTCGGGGAATATTGTATAACGTACCCGCCGCAGCCGACACATTTCTTGAACCCGTTGATATCCTTGAAGAAGGCCTTGAGCAACTCTCGTCTAGCTTCTGCGGCAATAGGGTTTTGTCCACCAGGCATCAGTCCCTCCAATTTGCCCTCCTTCTTGGCTTCGCGGATGCGCCGAGTGACATAATCAGTTCTCTTTTGCATATAGTCATCATCGTCGGGGTCATCTGAGTCGTCCAAATCTTCTTCCTTGCCCTTGGTGGCCTTTAATTTGGCACCCTTTTCGGCTCCCATCGTATCGACAATAGCGACTTCATCAATCAAGCCATATTGCAGAAGGCGCAATTTGCAGGTGTACATGTTGACCTGATTGCGACCCATCTGCAGGCGAAGACAGTACACACATTGTGCTCGAAGAAGGCGGAAAATGTGATCGAAGAAGGTGACATTATAGAAGGGTACTGGCAGTTCAATATGCCCAGGATGTCCGGTACAGGTGAAAGAGTTCTGGCGACAGGTTGTGCATCTGCAAAATAAGAAAATCTCTCACGTTAGAGATTGGACAGAATACTAATCAAGTCAAAACTTACACATGGTCTCCCCAAGCGCCCATAGCAGGGTCTTGAAGACCACCAGGAACAGGATTGTTAAATGAATCCAAAGTCGGAGTATTGTGAATTCTTTTCACCGAGAGAGCTTTAATCTCTTTCTCGGAGTAGACATTGAAGTCGACCCCATTAATGGTCGAGGCGACCGGGCGCGCAAAAGTTGCCATTGTAGCCTGCAGCTCCTTGAGCAACAGAAAACGCTGGCGCACGAAATCAAAGTGCTTGGATTCAGATCTCCAAGTGCTTTTAGTTCTGGAGCGAACTTTTTTTTTTCCGGAGGAGCAACTTATTTTCTGCCTGGATCCACCGCCTTACCCTTTTTGGGTTTCTGCGTGGATTACTCTGCTCATGCACAACGCCTACTGCTTGTCTCTCCTGCACTCCTTCGACCTTCTTGTATTTTCCTATTTCCAGAATAACGAGTGAGGCAGAAGCCATCTACATCATGGCGGACGCATCGGGCAACGCGCTGAAGCGTCCTCACCCTGAGGATCAACGCGACAACTCCCAGAAAAGGACCCGCTCCAATCATGGGTCCCCAGTACCAGGTCAAGGAGGTGCTGCCCCGGGCAAGCCAGATATTGAGAAGATAATGGCAGAAGCAAGAGCAAAGGCAGAAGCTGTGCGCGCTCGTCTACAGGCGCAGGCTGGCGTAACACCGACACCAACACCGCCAGCACCTCCAGCACCACCCGCACCGGCTTCTGCAAGTCCTCCCCCACCAGCACCGGCTCCTGCGATGTCGAAACTCGAACAAATGAAAGCTCGGGTTGCTGCAGCTACTCAACGAGCCAACGCACCCTCACAATCACGACCCAATGCACCCACACCATCCTACCAACCACCAGCGCATGACGACGAGGCCATTTCCAAGGCTCGCGGTGGCCTGTATGTTGGCCTTCATCCCGCGCTTCTCTCTGATGCGGCACCGGAATATCGCGGTGCAGATGGACGACCGACTAAGCCAAAACGTGCTGGTGGGCCCCAGCTTGATCTGTCTGGTCCATCAGTCGAGGAAATCAAGAGTAACCCCTACTTCGACCCGGCTATAAATCCCAAAGCAACGATTGCGAAGCCCCGACAAGCCCGAGAGCTACAGTTCCATGAAAAGGGAAAATATATCCAAGAGGCAGCGGCTCTACGCAGGCAGGCACAGCTGGAAGCCATGAAGAAAAGAATCGCAGAGAAATCGCGACAAGCCGGACTCGACGAGGATATGGACGTGGAGAAGACATTTCTTGTTCCTGAGCCGCCCGCTGTAGAGTGGTGGGATGCAAAATTAGTTGATGGCAGCGACTATGACGCAATTGATGACCAGGAAAACATCAAACTTGATACCCTCAACAGCTATATCCAGCATCCTATCGAGCTCGAACCTCCGCAAGAAAAGCACGTGCCTGCACAAAAGCCTATGTTCCTTACCCCGAAGGAACAAGCCAAGATTCGTCGACAGCGACGCATGGCAGATCTGAAGGAACAGCAAGCCAAGATCAGACTGGGACTCGAGGAAGCACCGCCTCCAAAGGTCAAGAAATCCAATCTCATGCGGGTTCTAGGAGAACAAGCTGTGAAGGATCCCACGGCTGTGGAAGCTCGGGTGACCAGGGAGATCGCAGATCGGAAAGAGGCGCACGAGATTGCGAACGAAGAGCGCAAACTGACTAAGGAGCAACGGCGCGAGAAGGTGGAAGCTCAGAAGGAGAAGGACGCCTCTTTGGGTATCTTCCAATCTGTGTATCGAATTGACAGTCTGGCGAGCGGCCGGAACCGCTTCAAGATCGGCAAGAACGCAGAGCAAAATAATCTGACGGGCATGTGTGTCATGCATCCCCGCTTCAACCTGGTGATTGTCGAGGGTGGCCACCACTCCATCAACAATTACCGAAAGCTGATGTTGAACCGCGTCGATTGGACTGAAAACCCTGGATCCGATCGAGTACCTGCAGACAGCCCTGAAGCCAAGGTTTCCTGGTTATCCACTGAAGATGATAAGGGAGAGCCCCGGGATTTTACCGCGAACACATGTACTCTTCTCTGGGAAGGTCAAACTAAAGGCCGGGCCTTCAGGAAATGGTTTGGTGCTCGTATCTGTGAAACAGACTCTGCTGCCAAATCAGCCCTGTCCCGAGCCAAGATGGAGAACTTCTGGACACTGGCGAAGAGTGCCAAACCAGCTGAATATTAACGTTTCCTACGGCTGATAATCAAGGTCTAGGTCTATTGTACTTTTACAGATAGCGAACTTGCTTCATAGCCATTATCATTCATATGCATGATGCTTCAGATCATTACTGTTTACCATCCCGTAGGCACTGTAAATTGTTCAAAACAGATACTCAATTAGAGCTATGGAAAACTTTTAATCAAACAAAATTCCCTACCCATATACACCCCGCTCCGTATGCAAAGCAAATATTCCGATGCTAGGATATCACAGAAGAACATGTATGGAAAACAAACTTATCAGGAAGGGGGAGCGCCCTGGTTGCCGCCGCTCAGGTTTCGCAGCAGATCCAGCTGAGCTTTAACTTGGTCAAAGTTCATAGCCGGGTTTTGGGCCTGGGTAGGCTGGTGCTGTTGTTGCTGTTGCTGAGGCTGAGGCTGTTGATGCTGGGGTTGTTGGTAATTCTGCTGAGACTGTTGGTAATGCTGCTGGTGTTGCAGAAGCTGCATGAATTGTTGCTGTTGTTGCAACATAGCCAGGGATTGAGGATTGAATTGGGGAGCACCCTGTTGGACGCTCTGGAAGTTATTAGGTTGCGGTTGTTGGAAGGCTGGGTATGGAGAGAACTGGAAAGGCATCTGTGGTTGCGCTCCACCTTGGCCGAACTGGGGCTGTTGTTGTTGGGCCTGTTGCGGGTTCTGGGCTTGCTGCTGTGCGTATTGCGCATACGCAGCGAAGGGTTGGGGCATCCCAAATGGCTGCTGGGGTTGCTGGTACATCGGCTGGCTGTAGGGAGCAGCGGGCTGTGCTTGAGGCTGAGGCTGGGACTCGTGGGTTGCGCCACTGGCCTGCTGAGGCCGACGATCCTGGTCCCACTCCCTTCCTCCACGTCCACCTCTGCCTCGTCCTCCTCGTCCTCCGTGTCCACGGTCACCCCGGCCACGACCTCTTCCGCCACGGAACCCGCCACGCTCGTTGCCTTCAACTGGTGGCTCGCGAGTATTCATCATCTCGTGGAGGTTGGTAGGGCGTGCAAGGGGGGGTGTAGCCCTCCTCACCTCCAGCATCGTCATAGTTGAGCTCTGTCTGGTTCAATTTTGAAGGTCCCGGGGCAGGCTTCTTGCCCTTGGGGCCTTCTCTGGCCTCCTTTCGCTCTTGTCGCTTCTGTTTCAGCTTCCGCTTGTATTCAGCCTCTGCTTCATCGTCGGAGAATTCCATCTCTTCAGCAGCAACTTCCTCGTCATGGAAGTTGGAAGCGTCACTTCCCTTCATGCCCTTGAGCGGCTGGGTGAACACAAAGGTGGAATGTCCCTCGACATAGAAGATATCCTTGCCCTTCACTAAGCCCTTTTCCTGAACTTCGGAAGCTGTAGAGTATGTGACTGTATACAGAGGATTCTCCACTCTGCCCAGGGTCTCTGCTACTACACCAATGACCTGGCGATCATCAGAGCAAAGCAAGGAGCCCGACTCAAGTACCTGATATTCTCCAGAGGTGTTAGCCTCGATAAGAACATTGTTATCGATAGCGGCATGAACTTTTCCGAGGAACACAATCTTCATCTCGGGGGTGATCGTAACATCAGGGATAGGCAAGGCTTCATATTCGATCTCGTTGGTGGTCCGCAGTCGTCCGCCTGTTTTCCCCTTGCCGTCTCCCTCGTCATCGGAACCACCTTCGGCCCGCATGAGAATCTGTGCTTGCTCCTCGGCGCTAAGGATGGGATAGTCTTCATCGTCACTATCATCGGAGTCCGAGGAATCAGAGCTGTCTGAAGATGACTCGTATGGGGAAGAATCAACCTCCCACTCAGGGTGCTCATTTTCTTTGGAGTCGCCAGCCTGACCAGTGGCTTCGATCATATTGTCTTGGCGGGTATCTTGCTCAACATCCATAGCTTCACTGAGGGGAGCAGTGGGTTCGTTTTTTACTTGGTTTGCCTCCGTCTCGTCCTTCATGACTGCGTCGGTGGACTCGGGTTGGGAGACGTGCTGAATTTCCTCTTCCTTGGGCTCCGTCTCCTCTTCTTGTTGATTCACTAGTTGATCTTCCTCTTGCTTGATTGTGTCTTCGGTCGAAGGCAAGCCAGTTTCCTGTTCGGAGGGGTGGTGGATAAGGTTCAATCCGGGGATCATATGGCTTGGCTTCAAGGAAGTAGAGGGTTCAGCTGTACTGTCTCCAGAATTTAGGCTGGCTATACCTATGTCTGGTGTACCTACAGCCAAGGGAGTGTTGTAGAAATCGCTGCCGCTGCCGTTGTCTGGGGTCCCTGCGATAGGTGTCTCAATAAGACAGGGCTTTTTCGGGGCAGGGCCTTCACTGGCACCTGTTCCATTCGAGGGGTTGTGATGTCCGTCCATATTGAGTCTTCAACCCAATTATTAATTGAATAAAAGCAGTTCAACTCGAAAGATCAAAAGTTGACGAGAAACTTTTTTTAATTTGCCAGACTCCGCATAGGCGGTCAACAAGGGCTTATCGGTTATCGCAGCTACGTTCATGTTGATGCCTCTCAAACATAACTCCAACTTGCAAGATGGCAGGGAACGACAATTCCTCCGGGGATGCCCATAGGCCTCATACAAAGAAGCAGTGTGTCGTTGAATCTGTGCAGGATTAAGCATGACACTAACCTATCTAGACCCCCACCAGCTCCCTTCTACATTCCTCTCAACATCACCCTCTACCTATGCCTAGTAACCAACACATTGGCCGCGATATTCTCTCCAATTCAAGATTGTGATGAGGTGTTCAATTTCTTGGAACCTGCACATTATTTACAACATGGATATGGTCTTCAAACCTGGGAGTATTCACCGGTTTATTCTATCCGCAGCTGGCTCTACGTGTCGCTCCATGCCGCTGTAGGCAAGATCGGGTCTTTGGTGGTGCACACCAAGGCAGCTGAATTCTACACAATTCGCCTGTCTCTTGCATTTATGTGTGCCGCCTGTCAGACTCGACTATACTCTGCGATATGTCGTACACTCAGCCCCCGTATCGGTCTCTTGTTTGTGATAATCGTCACATTTAGCCCTGGCATGTTTCACGCTTCAACTGCCTTTTTGCCTTCTACATTTACAATGTATATGTCTATGCTTGGTCTAGCTTCGTTCCTGGATTGGAAAAATAGCCGGAAAACAGCGCAGGGCATCATGTGGTTTGGGCTGGGGACAATTGTTGGGTGGCCATTTGCCGGTGCTCTCATTGTCCCTCTTTTGGTTGAGGAGGCTATTGTTAGCTTTATCTCTGGATCTGTTGGCTCGTTTTTGTACAATGTCTTTGACGGCATCATTCGTTGTTTGTCAATTCTGGTAAGTGACATTCTACTTGGTTTCCATATCTTTACTAAGATGCATGCATCACAGGCTCTTGAAGTTGCGGTTGATTATGCTTTCTTCCAAAAGCTTGTTCTTGTCCCTTGGAACATTGTTGCATACAATATCTTGGGGGAGAAGGTAAGGGACCGGATATTTTTGGTACTGAGCCGTGGACTTTCTATGTTCGAAACCTCTTGCTCAACTTCAATGTCTGGTTTTTCTTTGCCATGCTATCTGCGCCCCTCCTACTTTTCCAAATCGTCTTTCGATCGCACACTACCTCCTTGCAAACCTCATTGCGGTCCATGACCCTGGTTGCTCCCTTCTACATGTGGTTCGGGATTTTCTCGGTCCAGCCACACAAGGAAGAGCGGTTTATGTACCCAGCATACCCATTTCTGGCACTTAGCGCGGCTTTGAGTTTCCATATTATTTTGACCTACCTTGGCTCTACTAACCCAAAGGAACTGATCGGCCGCGTGCCAACCAAACTAAAGATTGCTGCATCCCTGTCAGTTGTTCTAATTGGTCTGAACGCTGGCATGTTGCGCACTCTAGGGATGGTTACGGCTTATAACGCTCCATTGAAGGTGTTCGATTCCCTACAGCGTGTGGATATCGCGCATGCAGGAGACTCCATATGCTTCGGCAAGGAGTGGTATCGCTTCCCGTCTTCGTATTTCCTTCCGAACGACATGCGCGCAAAGTTCATCCGAAGTGAATTCCGAGGACTACTTCCAGGCGAGTTCCCAGATTCGCCGAGTTATCTTGGGCGTCTGGATGGTGCCTCACAGATTCCATCTGGCATGAATGACCTTAACATCGAGGACCCTAGCAAATACGTAAGTGCCTCAACGTGGCGCTAGGATGATTACTCCCGTTCCTATACTAACTTTACAACAGGTTGACATCTCTCAATGTTCTTTCCTGGTTGACTCTTACTTCCCTGGTCACGACGCAACCGAACTAGAACCCCATTATTTCCTGGACAAGACGCAGTGGGAGACGCTTTCCTGCGCAAGCTTCCTCGATGCGTCTCAAACAGGCCTGCTGGGTCGATTGATCTGGATTCCTGATCTCCCAGTCATTCCCGCCCGCTTCCGACGCAAATGGGGCGAATACTGTCTTCTTCAACGAACAGTCGCAGGCCATGCATAGATCCAGGATACACCTAGAAATCCTTCTGGGTAAAACCTCTAGAAGAATTATGTAACACATCAATACGGAAACGTTCGCATCGAATGCAAACAAATAAGTAACACAGAAGGTTATCAAGTACAAGTGTAGCGTCACCTTTCCCAATTAGGGCAAAATATCCCTATCAACTTTTACCCTTTCTCCGCAGATACACCACTTCGCTGGAGGCCAACAACGGACAAACAATGGAGAAACGCATGCAGTCTCGGATTTGACAGCTCAAAAAAGACGCCATCCCCCCTCTTCCCCAGACCAGATAGTCTCTATTCTCAGCCACAGTTCACATATTGACCAACGGTGGCCTATCTCGTATCGGATTAACATGGCATCTCGCATCAGAGCACCATCTAGGCAGTTAATATCTTACTCCGCACTCCAGTATTGATAAGGGCGATCCGCTTTATGTTTACTATATTCTAAAACGACTTTCTATTCTCGATGTATCCTCAAACTACATACTACTTAGAAGTATCCCACTATGGCTATGTCGGTACTTGAGTCCCTATGGGGAACTATCTTATCGATCCCAACGAAAAAGGCCGTGGGTGCCTTTCTCATTCTCAGTGTCTGTGTATGGCTTGTTATCTTGGTCTCGGGGAAGTGGGCTTCGAGCACAGCCAAAGCCTCGAGTAGCGATCTAGAGAAACCCGCCGCAGGTGTGAGAGGAAAGGTCACCCGGCCACTGGGTGGTAAGTATATTCGGATGCCATTCCATGCAATAACGAGAAACACTCGCTAACTCTTGCTGTATAGAATGGACTCCATCAGATTTCAAACGGCCAACAGCAGCCCCATACTCAGGATGGGATGTCCATTCGACAAAGCCAATCCCCTACCGGCCCTTTAGATACGGCCCGTAAGTTGAACAAGTCCATTAGAGATATTTCTGACCGTCTTCTAACTCTTTCTACCTAGAAAATATTACATCACGCTGGGTCTAAGAAGCATGAAATGGGACGAATGGATCGGTGAGTGGTTCTTCAAGTCAGATCCCAGCAGCCCAATCGACCTCTTACACTCCGAATACAGAGCTCGACAACAACTATCTAAAATACCACGCCGACAAAGCACGCCGCATCGAAGAACGCGGTAGCAAATGCTGCCACACAGCACCAGAGGCAATGGACGCTGCAATCGAACTACTCGAAGAACTGTAAGAGCACTCAAAACATACACACGATATAACCAAGAACACCCCCTTCCTTCTAACGCCCATCCCACCAGATGCGCCTATCTCCCAGAAAGATACCCAAGCATGTTCACCAAGACCGCAACGGGCATAACCAACAAAGTAACCAACGAGACCTTCAACATAACCCAACGCCCACTCCCAGAAGACCCGATGGCGACAGCAGCCCGACTAGTCCAAGACGACCTAGCACTAATGATCGAGCGCCCAGACGGCGAATACTACTTACTAGCAGCCGCGATCCTACTAGCCGGGTTCTGGCGACTGAGCGACAAATTCGGGATGCGATTATCTGAGATCCACACATCGGGTGATGTACCACAGTTCAAGAGCAAATTAGAGAAAGGGATGATGAATTTCTTCCGACGATTACGGCCTGAAGAGCCTGTTCTTCGGAACAATTATTTCATCCAGGTGGATGATAACCTGGCGTGGTCGGAGAGTATTGGGTCTGAGGATGCGGAGACTGTGTCGTGGAATACGGCGGAGAAAAATCGGGCTATTGAGAATCATTTCTTTCGCTCGGAGAGGCAGTCGCTGAGGAGATTGCCCAGATCTGGGGCGGTGGTTTTTACCATTCGGACTTATTTTGAGCCTGTTACTGCCATTGTTAAGGAGCCTTACGTTCCTGGGAGGTTGGCGGATGCGGTTAGGAGTTGGGGGGATGATGTGAGTCGGTATAAGGGGAAGGAGAAGTATCAGGATGTTTTGTTGGAGTTTCTGGATGAGAAGCATCGAGTGCAGGTTGAGGGGGGTTGGAGGTTGAGGATGAGGATGAGGTTAGGAAGTATCCTCTTTGAGGGCAATGTAGTTAGGGCTTATTATGAATGATATATTTCGTTGATTCGATTATTTGGAGATGTTTCTTTCCAAGGTTGGAACTATTAGATGCAAATATTGCAATATCTGGTCGCCAGTATATCAGAACTGGATCAAAATGACCTCGACAGGTGCGATATGGATGCAGTAAGCATGCTCAGAGTAACCAACTTATTCCAAGGTTATTCCTGCACTCGCTGAACGCGTTAAATATAACTCGGACTCAAGACAGATCATATATCCGCAATGGGCCCAGCTCTCCGACCTCCACCCCGTCTTGCATAAGCCATCTCACGCTCTTCGCGCCAAGAGCACTCGTCGCGGAACTCGCAGATCCGACATTTCCACGCGTCCATGATATCCACGCCGCGGGGATCCCGCTTGCCGCGCCACCAGGTCATCTGGTCGTTGAGGTGGGAGGTGAGGGATGTCGGATCGAAAAGGAAAGATCGGCTTCCGATGAGCTGTCTCTTTGCGTCTTCGTTGGCGGCAGATGAGAGGTACCGAGCTGTGAGCACCGGCGAGAGGAGGGTTGAGTAAGGCTCCAAGAGCTCTGGCTGGGAAACTGATGGGATGGATGGTGCGACGGATGGTGTATCGGGGGGAGGAATGTGAGGCGGAGTTGTTGTATCATGACACTCCAAAGACTGGAGAGGTTGTTGTGTTTTAGGAGGATGCCGGTTGAGTCCTGGCTACCAATAGAAGGACCTTCATTATGTTCGGATTCTTGTGAGGAGAGCGCATCGAAGTACTGGTCGTTCAGGCCGCCAACCTCCGAGACGAAGGCGTTCGTGAACGGCTTCTCGGCGTCGAAGTCATAACGAGCGGCGAGGAGGTCGATGGTTACATCGTCGCTCGTGATCAGCCGATTGAGCATGTGGTAGTAGAGCTGCAGCTGGAGAAGAGTAGGCCGAAACCCCGTGCTTTTGACATTCGGTAGTGATCGGTTACCCTTAGTCTTCACGTCTGTCAGATAAATCCGGGGTAGGTCATAGACCGCCGCAGGCAGTTCCTGCTCAACGTGCCCCGTTTGCTCGGTCTCACTCTGACCAAAGTCTGAAAGCTTCATCCCACCTTGCGAAGAAGAAAGCAAAAAGTCCGACAGGGACATCTGATACTCCGGCAGCGCAGCACGCGATGCTACAACATCCGCATAGTACCCAGCAGCAGTAGCCTCGAGGTCCGAGTCCGGACACTCATAGGACAACTGATCAATAATGCCATTGACAAATTCCCCATCGACAACGCCCCAAACCTCCATCTCACGCGTAACACCATATTCACGCAGCATACGCAGTCCCTGGATGACATTCCAGACCCTGAGACCCCACGCATCCTCTTTAGTCGTGATTTCCACGGGGACAGTAGTGTAGATCTCATCCTCAAGGGTCTTGTGCATGGAACTCCCCTTCTTCATCGCAGCAGTCCTCTTCTTCTGCCCCCCATGTTTGGTCAACGTGAACCAATACTGCAGCTCGCACCAAGCTGGGGAAACGAGATCGGTCACCGAGAATGCTTTATTGGGCGCTTGCCGAAACCGTTCGACGGGGGATCGAGTATCGAGCGCCGCGGCTTCGGGATCCTGTTGTGTCCATTCGAGCGCGCGCGCTGCATTGCGCTCGCGTTCCTTTACTCGGCCCTCGGTTGAATTTGAGTTCTCGACTAAACGCTTGGGAGAAGATGTCGTCAGCTCAATTCGGGTTGGATGTAATGGGACCAATCCATTGGGGAAAATGTGGACGATCAACGGCGAAGAGTAAAAGGAAAGATGAAAAAGCATACCAAACGGGCTGTGCCTGTTGCTGTTGCCAGCATACGGACTTGACCTCCCCATTGCACTCGCACTCGGACCCCATCTAACGGCCTGACCTGGTCGAGACTGCGACTGCCGCCATGGTGAGCGATGCCCTTCCCGACCCAGCACCTTAGGCGACCGGACGCTAGCTGGCTCAAAGCCATCCTCGATATCTACGAGTGCTACTCGAGCTTCCGGTTGCAAAGTCTCAAGATCAACGAGTTCCGGGGATTTTGGCGCGGTGATGTGTTCGATCGGCGTTGGGGTCGGGATCCAGGTTGGTGTCGAGTTGAAAGTGGCGTTGGCGTCGGTCGCGTGTTCCGCGGCGGCTTTGTTCAACAAATGGTTCAGCAGATCCTCTTCATCTGGAGTGAAGTCGGATCCGTAGTCAGATTCATCCTCATTTCTCTCTGGGCAGGACATGCCTGCGACTGGAGGGGATCATGTCGTGTAGATCGAGTTGATGTTCGGGTGCGTCATTGCCATGTGAGTTGCCTTAAGAATCCCGTTGTTCTTACTGGCTGACCATCACAGACTTGATAATTGTACAAACATAACTAAGATATATATAACTATGTGATATATTACATAGAAAGCTAATTAACAAAAGAGACTGAAGTCTATTGATCTAAGTAATTGCTCTTGGTATCCCATGCATCGCTCCAAAACAAAACAAAAATATCCCAATGCCAATATTCGGCAGGGATCTATGAAATCTATACATCTCATCAACCTCAACAAATTCGAAGTCTATCCTCGTGCATTCATGCAGCCCCAGCAGAGATCATATTTCCCCCAGAAACAGCATGCAATGCACCAGCACCCGTCCCCTCTGCCGCAGCAAGCGCCTCAGCAGCCGCAACCTCCTTCGCAGCCTTCTGGTTCAACCAGCTCAGATAGGTCTGCCAGCCGACCGCAATACACCCGGAGAAGACATTCCGGAACTGTGCCGGCACGTACATAAAGCTGAACGCGGTGACAGCCGGCCAGAGCTTAACGCTGTTCTGGATACTAACGGGGAGAGCCTTCTTCAATCGCTCCCAGGTCTCGTCGAGCGTCGCACCAGCGAGAAGCGAGTGCACACTAAAGAAGTACGTATTGAAGACAGGTGTGAAGCACGTCTGCTGCACAACAACCTTGGTCAGGATGGAGAGGAACCTGCTCGGGTAGTTGAAATAGTTTCCGAGGAATATAAACCTAATAAAGAGCGGTGTCAGTTAACAAGTACATCCAGATACAGATACAGATATCCCACGTAACAACAATCTCAAAGAAACCATTGGTCACAGATCCATAACTAAATCCCACATCACAGAACATACCATCTATAAGAAGGAATACTTGACCCGGCGCCAACACACAAATGCCGCAGAGTCCTAAGCGGATCATACCCAGCGCTCACAGTCGCACCATCTCCCCGTGCAGCCCCGTCCCCATCTTCAGCGTCCGATTTCGCAGGTGCAGGAACCTCAGAAGGAAATAGCATCTGCGCGCTCAGATCACCGCACAGGTAGATAACGATCGAGCTCCAGAACTGCGTCGTGTATGGCTTGCGCTCCTGCACGCGCGCATACCATCTTCCAAACTTCCCGACCGGACTGGCCTTTATCACCTCACGGAATCCGCGTGTTCGCACAGGTGCAGTCGTTGCCCCGGCTGCGGCTGAGGCTGCGGCTGCGGCTGTAGCGGCGGGGGTTGTGTCTGGAAGCTTAGGTGGAGTTGAAGCGGTTGAATGGTGCGAGTGTGGTTGGTTTGCAGATGTGGTATTTCTCTCGGCGGGTGTCTTCCCTGTAGAGGAGTCTGAGTTGTATCGGCGTTGTGGGCGTGGTCGGCGCAATAGCTGGGGTTGGGATCTGGGGGTTATCGGTCGGCGGAAGGTGGAGGTTGAAGGGGAGGTTGGGGCCCTGGATAAGAGGCCATTTCGGAGGAGGGTCATGTCCAAAATGACATCTAGAGTTATGTACAAAAGAATAGTTGAAAGTAGAAGTGAAATTGGAAAACAATAATCTTTGAAATCCAAAAATCCGACCTCGGGGTTGTGGCGATTAAGACCCGAAAAGCGGGTTAAACTCCGACTTCTGAGAGATCAGTTCCGGATGCAGGATCCGATTTATTGCATTGATTCCTCTATTTAAGGAAGAAACATATTTTTAAAAAAGAAAAAGTGCCTGAAATAAAAATGATATTTCCAAAAGAAATCCCAAACTCCAGCTCTATATAATGCATCCCATAAAAACATTAGTTGAATGAGGTTTCCCTCAGTAAGATGTAAACGGGTATCAAAGTAAATACAAAAAACACATCATGCAAACAGTGTACTTTTTTAGTGACATGAAAGAAAAATGGACAATAGAAACTATGATTAGTGACACAAACATGTATGTATAGGTATGACATGTCCAGACAAGAGATGGTAGGATGAGAGGGGATATAAACAAGCTGTTCAGCAACGTCCTATTGTTTGAAGGAGTCACGAGTGTGGACACGGTCGATATCATACGGGTTTCCCTCATATGTAACCGAGCGAGTCAACGAGGCACCAGTGCGATTGGAGGCAACAGATTGCGCACGGCTGCGAATGCGCTCCGTGGGGAGTGCGTCAACACCGTCATGGGACTCGCTGGAGAGGGAGCCTTCGGGGGCAGGAGCCTCTGTACGGTCATACTCCACTTTCTCCTCTGCCTCCGGTGGGGCAGAAACCTGCTCCTGGATCTTGCGCATGAATGCCTCGGACTGGGCGGCGAACTTGCAACGGGTGCGGATCGCGGGTCCATACTTGTAGAACAAGAAGGGGAAGGGCACGCAGGCGAGTGCCAGGAAAGCCGGGATCGATGATGCCCAGTGGATACCCAGGTTCTGATACATGTAGGTGGTGAAGAGGGGGAAAGCAGCACCGAAGAGGGAACGGATGACGGAGTTGGCAGCAAGCACGGAGGCGGCGAAGATGGTGTAGGAGTCAATGAGGTAGTTCATGATGCTGAGAAAGACAAGGACCATTCCGAATCCGAAGGGGACGCCGGCTGCGATGCTGACCATGAAGTGGATTGAGGGGTAGTTGGTCCATGCGAACCAGAATAGGCCGATTGGGATTGCGACGGATGCGATGAGGCATGGGGGAGACGTGCCTCCGGGGGTGCGAATCCATTATGTTTATCGGACGTCCCGATGTAGCGCTTATTGTCCCAGAGGGAGTAGATGACGGCAATCAACATGCCGATCATGATACCGAGGAAGGCGAGGCCACTAACACCCTGATTCCAGCCGCGGGACTGCTGGTAGACAATGGGGAAGGCGGCGAACATCATATACAAGGTACCGTAAACAATAGCCATGTAGAGAGATAACAAGAACACGATAGGCTCCTTGAATAAAAGAATCCAAGGACGGGACAGTGACACTTTGAAGGAGTCTTTAAGAGACACCCTGCCTTGGTCGATCTCAAGCTTACTCCGGTAAATCTTTCCTGACAGCTTTGAGAGTCTTTCCGCACGGCGGAGGAGAAGCACGGGGGCATAGGTCTCGGGGATCGTCAGAGAGCCGATAATCCAAACCGTACCAGCAAAGACGGCAAGGAAACCCATGACCCATTGCCAACCGCCGTCACTCATACCGATGAATCCACCAGCAATGGGACCAATAACAGGACCAAGGAAAGGTGCGGCGGCGAACAAACTCATAGCGACACCTCGCTGCTTAGCGGGAAACATGTCGGCAATGACACCACCAGCGTTAGTCAAAGGCGAGGATCCAAAGGAACCAGCGAAGAACCGAAGGATAATGACGGACCAGGCATTTTGAGAACCTGCGACACCAGCATTGAAAGCTGTGAGAGCGGCGTAGGTAGTAACGAAGAGGATTTGGCGGCCAAACAGCTCACTCAGTGGAGCCCAGAGCAATGGTCCAATCTATACCAAAGCAAATAACGTTAGTATGCAGGCAAAACAGATTACACAAGCTCAAGTAGCAGTATCTAGAGAGTTGAGGTCTTACCGCGAAACCGAGAACGAAAAGCGAAACACCAAGAGTGGCAAGTTCTTGCCCGATGTGAAACTGCATCATGATTTCTTTGATACCGCCGGTATAGGCAGATGATACCAGGGAAACAGCCAATGTTGCGACGGCTACTAGCATGGTAAAAGTCCATTTCTTCACCTCACTAAAGTTCATGGGATTACGAGGGTCGTTCGGGATCCATGTTACTTCAAATGGGTCCTCCTCTGTTCCTGAACCGGGGTATGGGTGATCAATTATCTCTTGTGTGACGACACCCTGGTCGAAGACCAAACGCCAGTATGGAATCTTCGTTGGGGCAGAGGACTCGATCTTGTCCGAGACCTGAGGGTCCGAGTCAGCTGCCATGATGGGCAGGTGGTGAATTTAGATTGCGATGTGTAGTTGATAGTATCCGAGGTAGCAGTATATGCCAGGTGGGGTTTCCCGAAGGTTTGCGGGGGGGAGGGGATGCCGAGGAGAATTGGTGGGAATGAAAATTAGAGAGGGATGGAGCTGAGCTCTCTCTATATATAAAGGGGGGTAGGTTTATGAACGCGATATGTGCAGATAAAGTATGGATAAGTGGATTGATTTCGTTTCCCAGGTGGGCTAGGTGGGCTAGGTGGGCCCCGGACTAGATTATTATTATTTTTTAAAAGGATTTTGGGATCTGGACCTTTTCCTTAGTTATGTTGTTTTTAGAACATCTATTTTATAATTTCATATTGATTTCATACCTATAATAGTGTACTTCCAAGGTGAATTGAAAGATTATACATCATACAAAGATAAAGATGCAGATGCAGCCCTGGAGAGTCCACGAGTGCTACCTAACTAGGGCTTATCTGTTTGCAGCCACGTTTTCGTACCACGTGATTTATGCATGTTTTATGTCGAGCCTCTCGGGTATGCGGCATTGATCTGATTGGTTCACTTGGCATCCCAAGGTTTCCTTGATAATTGAAACTTCCAAGGTTCCCAGCTTCCACTTCAATTCTAGCGCATTCTAATGGAGACTGGATTTTTTTGTACGGAGTACTAACTAATTCCCATGGATACACAATATACAAAATCCTTGGAATCTCATAGAGTACCTAGGTACCTAGGTAAATGTGCACAAGGGCCGTGCATAAACATCGGCCCACATTCGGACATTCCACGAATCGGACTGCGCACCTTACCGAAGCTTCATCTAGATCTAAAGTTCTCCGGATCGGTCATCTAAGGATACTAATCTCCGGTGCATGTACATAAAATGATATTTATAATTCTTATGACCGACTAAACTCCATATGACCTCAGGAATAGCATTATGATTATCAATCATCATGGTCAGGGGCCTATGCATAGAGCTACTATGTACTTCATACATAACTATAACTAGCATGTATAAAATTGCCAGTCTTCTCTAATTTAGCCCCCGTTGAGTGCCCAAGTCGGCAATCGGTATACGAGTTCCGATGTTAACCTCGTAATCAGCTTATTATTGTCTCAGTAATTTCTTTGAAATCAACTCCAAGCTAGGCATCAGCGTCGTGGTTTACTCCAGACATCCATGAATACAATCGAATGCTAAGTCAGACCACCAACGCTGCTTAGAAATGGATATATTTAGATCCGTATCATCGAAGGATCTCCGTTGTACTGATCGAATTTACATACAACATAAGTCAGGCCACCCCATATCAAAGTCGTCCATGGGCTGATACCACCCGTCATATGAGGAATGCACGGGCTCGAATAATAAAAAAAAGCAACGTATATCCTATCTCCAGAGCTGATCCTACATTCAGCTGGAGGTCGGTTTATTTACATAGACCCATGAATGTACCTTTTTAAGAAATAATAATAGTAATAATAAATTAGACTGTAAAAGGATAGATCTCCGAGATCCGGCCAAGGTTCGGCAGTGCCATGCGAAAAACCACACTCGGGTGGCTTGCAGAAAAAATTGAAGGAGAACCAGGGAAGGCAAAGCCACCAATTCCACCGCTAGAATTTTCCATCATGTCTTGGCGCCTTCTTTTTGTTCGCCTCAGGCCAGCAGTCAGATAAGGACCCTGATAGGTACATTTGCCACCAGACAATATAGCCTTGATCTTGGTATCCAAGACAGTTATACGTGTCAAGTTATATCAGTAGATGCCCCTCAACGTTTGCTATTTAGTTTTAAAGTTTCAAAGATTTTCAAATTCTGTTGACAGCAAGATCAAAGAAACAAAACACGCGTTCAAGTCACTTTGTCTCCACTTAAAATAAGCATGACAACTAGGATAGACACCTGAAAGGCCATTCAGCGTCTGGTTCAGCCCTGCGAGCAGAGGATCATCGATCTTTTAACATAGGTAGCACATATGGATCATCGGTCCAGCAATCCATGTACGCATTATCAGACTATAAGATCAGCCATTGTAGTCTTGGGAATGCCCTCCAGTTGCCTCTTGTTGTAACGGTTTGATACCAGGATCGCAGATGTATTCGTCTTATTTACTCCCTTGTTCTCCTAAGTTCGACTTGATCATTTGATTTTCCTGTATAGATAATTTTGATTTATTCGGGAATATCTCTCGTGATCTGTGATCTGGAGAGTAATGAGTCATTCTGATATTGTGCAGTACAGAACTAACCTACATACATACTACATAACTAGTTAACTAGTTAACTACTACATACTACCCTACTTTGTAGAGCCCATATGATGTGCGACTTTCCTTTGAATGTGAGTGCTTGTGTGGCGGTCGGATTCGATACTGGGTCTCGTCGGGGCTTGAGTATGACGGGTGCGAAGTAGTCAGAAACCCAAGTTCATGCTGCCTGCTGTTTAATTATTTTGTTCATTGTTTGAGTGCTTGGTTGTTACATAACTAGTTAACTATGTTGTTGTATAACAATGTTGTGTCGTACTTTCAAGTCACAGTTAATTGTTGGGTCAGGGCTAAGTCACGGTGAAGTCATAGTCAAGTCTAAGCATTTTGGATGGCAGTCAAGTATGAAGTCCTAGTATAAGGTGGCCCACGTTCTGTTAACTAGCTGTGTTTCCCAAGTAGTAAAGAATTTCTCCAGTCTCATAGTCCATCCCATCATCTGTTTGTTACTGTGTAATTGTAAAAGTCCCGTACTTTATGATGTTGCCTCTTTGTTGCGCGATGAGAGGAAACCTTCCGAGAATATTCGGGGTGGAATCGAATGGCTTGGGTTCTTGTTGACTTGAAAAGAATCACGTCCAGGCATGGGGTATTCTATTGTCGCAGGGTTTCCCATCTGGTTTTGGATGGTGTTGTTTGGCGTTGTTAGTAGCCCCGGATGTGTGAGCAGTTTGGAAGGGGTGAAGGGCAATCTTGCGACCGAGGGGTTTCCCCCAACACTAGACTACAAAAAACACAAAGAGAACATAAACAAATGTAAGGGAAATACTTTGTAATAGGAGGGGGAAATGAAGGATGCGTCGTGTGGCTCTACATGGTTACTGTTTACTGGCTACAAGGAAGAAGGGAAATAATTGAATCATAGAAGACGGCATTAAAGCGTCTTGTCATGAGATGATGCGCGCTAAGGCATCATGTTAAAAGGGAGCCCCCATAATGTACATGCTCATGACTGATCCATCAATCGATGGTGAGCAGTAGCATCGATAAAAAAGCAAAATTGCAAAGCAACCCGGTGCCGAAACCCATTGATATTTGAAAGCAAACCCATCATGTATCGCCAGTAGTCATGATAAAAAGATAAAAACAAACCCCATGATCGCCTTTCAGAAAACCAGCTCGTTGAAAAGAAAAAATTACGAGCGCTCGCCACGGAGACGGCGGGCCAACTGGATGTCCTTGGACTGGATGGTGACACGCTTAGCGTGGATGGCGCACAGGTTGGTGTCCTCGAAGAGAGAGACGAGGTAGGCCTCAACGGACTCCTGGAGAGCACCGATGGCAGAGGACTGGAAACGGAGATCGGACTTGAAGTCCTGGGCGATCTCACGGACCAGACGCTGGAAGGGGAGCTTCCGGATCAGGAGCTCAGTGGACTTCTGGTAGCGACGGATCTCACGGAGAGCGACAGTACCTGGAGATGGAACGTTAGAAAATGTTCGAAAGTGGACCAGGTGGATGCCTTGTTCGACAAGAGATGGAACTTACCGGGCTTGTAGCGGTGAGGCTTCTTGACACCTCCGGTAGAAGGGGCGGCCTTGCGGGCGGCCTTGGAAGCGAGCTGCTTACGGGGAGCCTTGCCACCAGTGGACTTACCTATTCGAATCGGTTAGCAAAATGTTTGCATGTTGAAACGCGTGAACGCGTCACCAAAACCTCCCCTCGACGCGATGCCTGACTAATCAGGCATCACCAGTGAGGTAGTAAAAGGTGAATAAAATATGATATAAGAAATACTTACGGGCAGTCTGCTTGGTACGAGCCATCTTTGATGATAGACTTGATGAAAAAGTGGTTTTGTTGATGAAAGAGTTGGTTGGCGTTGGATGGATGTAGAAGGGAAGAGAGAGGAGGGTGGGGGAAGAGTATTTGTAGGAGACGGGAGGGGGGGATTGATCTGAGAGGGAGCCACGAATCAGGGGAAGTGAGCCGGAGGATCAATCAGCAGAATCAGCGCGTAGGACTGGGGACTGCGTAGCGTGTAGCCCAGAAACTGATTTGCGGTGAGCTCTGATTGGCTCAGCTGGATCAATGTGCTGGTACTGCCAACTAAGCGAGCAATGGACCAATGAGAATGCAGGATCAGTGAGTATAGAATGCCAAACCCTTGAATTCTTGATCTTGCAACCAACCTCCTTTAGATCAATAGTTAATGCATTCTGAAGTATTCAACACCCTTTGGAATGTATAATTGTTCCTTTTTTATTGTAGATTTACATTGTTGGTGGCGGATTATAGGAGGATCAAAGATGGACTACGGCAAAGTCGGTGTTCCAACTATGGGGTCACCCGGTAGATCAAGGTTGGTCTGTGATCCTACATTCTCATTGGTGGATGCGATCCCTAGCGCGTGATTTCCCAGTCTTCGCTCATTCCCGTATCATACAAATATCCTCTGTCCACTTCCGTTTCCTTTCCCTCTTTTTCAATCAATTCATCGACAACCATTCAACTACCAACTCCTCTTCATAACACCTCTACAAACCCCTTTTTCTTTTAATCCATATTCAATATGTCTGGCCGTAAGTCACTACCCCACACTTCTATTTCTTCAAGAAACGCGTTCTAACGCGTCTCATTTCAGGCGGCAAGGGTGGAAAGGGTCTCGGCAAAGGTGGTGCCAAGCGTCACCGCAAGATTTTGCGTGACAACATTCAGGGAATTACCAAGCCCGCTATCCGTCGTCTCGCACGCCGTGGTGGTGTCAAGCGTATCTCCGCTATGATCTACGAGGAGACCCGTGGTGTCCTCAAGACCTTCCTCGAGGGTGTCATCCGTGACGCTGTTACCTACACTGAGCACGCCAAGCGCAAGACTGTTACTTCTCTTGACGTTGTCTACGCTCTCAAGCGCCAGGGCCGTAAGTTTCCACATGTCTCTCCATTCCACGACGCGTCTCTAACCTTCCTATTCAGGTACCCTCTACGGTTTCGGTGGCTAAATCATTTGTTCTTTTCTTTTCCGGGCTGGTTCACGGTACGACGGGACGTTGGGGTGTTCTCTGATTTATTTTACTACAACTGTCATGGGTCTCTGGGTTTGCTTTTCATAACACTCGATTACCACTATTGCGCGTCCATAGTGTGCGCTTCTTGAGCTTTTTTGTATCATAGCGGCCTCCACATTACGGCTGGCACCATGGATATGGTGGGATCAAGCACTTAAGTGCGATCCGATACGAATACAATCAAAACTTGAAATAATTTTTTGACTTCTTTTGTATTGTCAGTAGTACTTATACATGTAGAAGATAACTCATACCATTTCTTGGCTTATATTATCGAATTTGGCGCTCTATTGGTATTTGGGGCTTGGTCGGTTTGTTGTTTGGTGGTGTGGTCTTCGCGGTTTATGGTTGCTTGACGCGTTGTTTTTACTGCCTGAGGCCTCATTTCATATGCTCATCATCAACCCATCATTGATTTTATATAGGGTTTGATTAAATCCCAGTGTCGCTGACCCGTAATGTCTGTTAATTAAACTGTCCATATGCGTATATTCAACCTATTCAACCTATGTCACGTTCGTTTCCTTAGTACATCCATAAGTTAACTAGATGGTTTCATGGTGTACATTGTACGCGTGTCTGAATCAACTTCACCTTACAGTATTTTGCTTTTAATTCATATACTTGGTTGTCCTTTTTGTCGGTTCGCACGGCCTGCTGGCTCTGGTGATTTGAAGGTAGAGGGTTGTCTAAATGTTGTGTATGGATATACTCGTAGTGTCGATATATATGGTTATATATATTAATGTCAACACTAACTTGGAATATCAATCAACGCATAACAATGCACACAACCAACACAACATACCCCAAAGGCGTTCAAGACACCTAAAGGTCGCCCAATTTCCACATTGAAACATCAGATACCACCACCGTGGCGTGGCGAGCAAAACAACATAGGTTGAAGTTGAACTACCCAAAACGGTAGTTCAACTTTACTTGGCGCTATGAAACAATTCAGATATACCCACAACCACGCTGTAAATGCACGTATTTCACTGGAATATGCTAGGGCTAGAATAAAGACCCAGATCCAAATTTCTAATTACACTGGCCCGTCTGAAAACCCTGGTGGAAGTCCATTTGTCGTACGACGATGCAGTTGAACCCCCGAAAAGGGAAGTCCAACATTTCTTGGCACTACGACCGGGGGCGCACCACACTAGACATAACCCGAAGCGCTCTTTCGTTATCGCCCCCCAAAAGATTAACCTCAATCTGCTACGATCATCCTGTATCGCAGGAAGATTGTAATTGTAATCGAGTAGTACCATGTAGGTGATCAGCCTTGAGTAAACTGCGCAAACGACAAACACAATCAGCTGTTGTACGCAACAGAAAAAAACGAGACCGAAAGCATATACCGGGAGCATCTATACGTAAAACCAAACCACCAGCTCAATACCCAGGCTGACTTGATTGACCCTACATCAACCACCCACCAGAATGGCCACCTGCTTACACCACTACACAGGTCGAAGAAACGAAGGAAACAAAAAAAGCAGGGAATATGGTACACACAGGGGCAAGGAGACTGGGATAGGATAACAGAGGTGTCGTTCTGGCCACGACGATACAATTGACGGGACATGCGAAGATGAACATGACTGCCCCAATCACAAAATAGCGCGCAAAAAAAAGATACAAGCGAACCCCGACAGACCCCATGCTGACTGTCAACTGATAAGTCGCTGACCTCCGAATTGCCCGCCAGGTGCAGCTGGTGAGACTTGGTCTCCTCACGCCGTCAACCCTCATGCGGCGAGACACCAGTCTCCTCGACCCCGACTATTGGTGAGCCCCCCCAGAAAGCCCCCCATGCCGCATACAAATGAGTCCTGATCGTTGCGAACCAGAAGATGAACCACGCCGCATAGCGAGAAACCTAGCCAAAAGCGACACTGCGAACAATTGATGAACACTAGATCAACGTGCTGGAGCCTTGCTGAATACATCCATGGATATGATATTCGATATTCAACAGGACATGTGGTCAGCCAATAATTCGAGTGGGCCTTCTGGAATACCGAAAATGATCACGATGGAATCATGCTCTCAACTGCACGGGGGTAGAATCTGCTACACTTCTCACGAATGGTTGGACATAATGACACTGGAGACCAGTCTGTGTGTTGACTCGTCTGGTGCCGTATTGGGCTCTATTCCTCGTGTAGCCGCTATCGCTGAAATAACTCTCTACGGCAAGACCACCAAATGTTGAATCACAGCAGCGGGCGTGCTATAGAATTACCGCGTGGGGATTTTACCAAAAAAATTATATGGTGAGAAGCAGATGTGAAAAAAAAAAAAAGATAGACATAGCATGTCCTGGTTTCGATCCAGGGTCCTATTGATTGTTAGTTTGATGTTTGTGGGTTAAATTTGGTTGCGGTGAAACGTACCTCCGGGTTATGAGCCCGGCGCTCTTCCCCTGAGCTAACATGCTGGGATGTTGAAATCATAACTTTCTTTGCCTACATCAAGGGAAGACCAACTCAGTATGCAACAAATTAAATTATGGATGGTAACCCTAACTCACAGACCACTCTTGTGGTCTGCTCAAGCTCTTAATTAAACGCTTGGGTATAGATTGACACAAAAACTATTTGATTTGCAGGGTCCATTTTATAGAGAAATTTAATTGCCTTGGATATGATACATTCTACTTGAAGGGCCGTACATCAGTAGTTAGTTAACAAGTTAGTTAGTGACATCAGGCAGTTTGTGGCCATGTCTGTTACCCTTGAAAGCTGGTAAACCGGTATAATACCACGGGAAACTCGTCTATAGGAACTCCGTACTCGAAGCCATCACCTGTATGGATTAAACTTGTTTGCGACTGGACGCCACAATATCCAGGATTTACCTTCTCTTTCCTGTTTAGGAATACCCATGCCTTGTAGCTTGCCGCCTCAGGGTTCAAGCCGGCATCCTACGGCTCAAAGCTATAGGCTCATTACTATCCGTGGCGTTCAGCTTAACATTGTTGCATGCTTTCTATTGGTTATGGCCCAGAAAATCTCAATGCAACTACATATTATTGTGCCACGAACAAATATGGCACAGGAACGACTCCATATCTACCTGTAGGTACCGGCATGGTGGTCTCTATAGTCAAATATGTAGAAGTTGTTCATATATACGCCAGGGGCCAATTGGCTAGGATATTTCAATGGCATATCAGAAGGACTATCATAAGGAATTCATCCGGAGGCTGGCTCATGGTGTGTTTGGTCATTGATAGGCTCCTGGGTTCCAACCTTATACGGTACAAGTATCAGATACGAACGAAACATGATTACTATTACACTACATATGTATCAGAGACATGTGGCATTCCGGAATGCAGAGATCGATCGTGGGTAGCTTCTAAAACACGTGTACACACGCAACCAAGCAAGGGATTTGCCATCCCTTGCTGTAGTGGGCTGCTAAGCCACAGCTCCTTCCCCAACAAAGCTCATTGGAGCATCCTTCCTGAATTTCCCCGACTCAAGATGACGAAGCGCATACATACCTAGGTAGTATGTGCATAGAACATACACGGCTAGCCTCGAGGATCTAAACAGACACGTGATAGCCTTTTGAAATTGCCAAGATGTGAGTCAGAACCATCAGTCAGTATTGGTAATCCTCGGGGACTAAATGACGAATATCGGGATAATCAATCATCAATCATAGCAAAGATGCGCAAAGCCAAAAAATACATGTCGAATACGAATTTGAAAGTAGGGGCATGGTCCTCCGACGGTGTCGGTGATGCCCGGAGGCCGGCATTCCGGGACGAAAATAGAAAGCTTCCAGAAGAATGAAAACACTAACGCTTTACTGAATGCAGCACTAGCGGCATGCACAAGCCACGAAAATCTCTTCTGGAACATACCAGAAATACCGAATACGATTACCTGCAGATCACGGCTGCTCCAAGTGCCGTATGGTAACAGGTTAACCGGCCACTTGAACGGCAGTACCGAGAAGTGGCTGTGCAGCCCTAGCAGTCACGACCAATCATTTACATTGAAAAAAGTTTTCACTTTGCATTAGACTGTTACTAAATATGATCCTGCATGACAATCTCGCAGACCCATCGCCGAGAAACCCGAATTTAAGGTGCTGACAATAGGGGCTTTCTTTTGGTCGGCATTAGATGCCGGTGAAAATTTTTTCTCCGTGTCTTTTTTTTTTCTTTTCTTCTGAATCCTTACGCAGGGGCCCTTTATTGGCAATGAGTAACAGGATTGATATCTGCCTAACTGAGAAGGTGGTTTATGTACGTTGTAGACAAGGGTGCTTTCGGTACTCCGTAGACGAATCCACCCCTCCGATCTACATATCCCACTATATCTGAGTGGGCCATTGGATCTGGATACTTGGATCAGCTGAGGCTGGTTTGCCACTTCCCCAGACTCTGTAGGGGCCACGTTTTGGTGTGCCCTTGAGGAATCTGCCAAGATATTCCCGGGTCGTCCTCGGAAAAAGGGAGATCACTCGGATTTGGGCCAGACTGTTCGGTAAGCACCGGTCCCGATTTGGCGTTTGTAAACCGAGAAACTCATTTAACCTCCGAAAATATGCCGGTCGGATTTATGTTGCGCTAAATGAATTTCAAAGGGAGATCCTTGGAGGTCACATGAGAATGTTAAGACTATTGTTGCTGCCTTTGTGTTTTGTGCCCAAACAGAGTGGAAAGTCGGGGTTTGCCGATGCTGCTCGGTTCGGAGGCTCTTGATCTGCGATCTGATACCCTGGCATTTAGCCTCCAAGCCATAATGCATATGCACGGTTGCATTGTGACAGTGCTAAAACAGAAAATTTCGAATGTAACCTTTAGTACATGACATTCTTACCACGCTACTTCTGGTGTTCCGCGTGTCACAAAGCCCGCGCTAACAATTTAGCTAATCTGTACATGCCTGGAGGGATCCGAGCGCTAGGAAAATATGAAAATATCAAAATCAAACATCAATACTCCAATTTAATACTCCAATTTAATCCTCAACACTTTCTGAGTCAAAGGAGAAAACATATGATTCACATGTGATTGAGTCATCGAGTCATTGAACAATGCAGACCAGAAAATTCAGGCAATCAGCCCATAATAAAGAGACCATCTGACCATGATCTTAGAACCTTGCACATAAGATTCTTGTGTAGCCTGCAAAGTAACAATGATAAGCCAAATTGAGCATTTCCCGCCGAGCCCATGCTAGAGCTAAGTCCTATAGAGACAAGCGCTTACTTACATCCGAGAACAAGTGTAAGACATGTAAAGTATACACGACAGCCCTTCGCTTAAGACAATATAATAAAAAAATTTAATTTAATAAAAAAATTTAGAAGCCCCGTAGGGACTCAAGATCTCGGGTCAGCTGGTCGTCAAGTTCCTATACACAAAGAAGATCCATGGACCCGTGTCCGACTTCAGCTTATCATGCCATTAGATGCATGGTCAGCTGACTATCGCGTCTGTCGAACTATGGCCGAGCGGAACCCGCCGATTGGCGCGTAGTGGGGAGACATTGCAAGACAATCCCAAGACAATAGCACCAAGACCATCGGAAGACAGTTGAGAGACAATTACTTCACAGCCACAATCTTGAGTATTCGAGTCTTGGAATAATTGGGTCGAGTACCAACTTTGGAAGGAACGAGAAGAATGTGCACTACATGCTTTCCCCATGTTGTGCAGGAAGGAACGTTGGGACGGCCGATCCGAACCATTGGACACCAGCCACATGGCTCAATCTCGATGTGGCTAGTGTTCTTAAAGAAAGTATGGACAAATAATAATAAAGATAAAATAAAATATATCTCGGCCGAACAACTCTCTGGGTTTCAATTCCACGTTTGTAGATATTCTAGTGATTTCTGACTCACCGGAGATAGTAGATCAGGCCGAATTACCAATTCCCAACGAACCAAAAATTTAGTATGCGAAAATGGGCACAAAAACAAACTAAGGTGTGGCTTAGCCTTAAGGATTTCTCCTCGGCATCTCCACCCCCCATTTTTCCTAATTTTGGCCCTGGTCACCCGAGTGCAAATCGGAGCTAGTTCTAGACTATACGATAGTATTTTTAATTTTTATCTAAATTTTATCTCCCTTTCTTTTTTAAGCGATGTACTGTAAATCTTGGCTGAATCCTTTGCCCGAAATTCTCAACAAAGGGTTTTTTTTTTTTTAGAAAATATTGATTAATGTAGATTTTAAACAATTATATCATGGATACCCCAAAAAGCCCAATCACATAGAATATTAGGTATGGTGGATCCTTGTGGCTTTTGGGTATCCTGTAAGCCACAACTGCACAAGGGAAACAGTGAAGGAAGATCCATCCCCAGATTAAGATCAGTGGGACTCGGTAAAAAATGGTGGTATGTGATGATACGAATCCTATCCAAATTTGGACTAGTGTTGAACTTGGGTACAATTAAAAAATAATAATAATAACACCAAATACGTCAATTACGCCAAATACGCCAAATACCCCAAATACGCCAAATACGCCAAGTTAGTCAATACGGTAAATTCTTGTTCGGAGTGGCCGAGCTAGTGTGAGGTCATCTAAGTACAGAGAGCGCTCTTTATTAACTCAAGTCCTCCCGACCTCTTTCAACTTCATTACTCATACCCAAAACACTCTGACTCTTGAGATCATCATATCAAGTAAGATTTGCTTTTCCTCCGGTCGAGTCATTCTCCAGAACCAAACTCACACCAACCACAGTCAACTCCATTAAAGTTCCAGCCCTCTTATAATTCCATTCGATCAGCCTCCCGACGTTTCCAGACTCTTCGCTACCTGAAGCTTTGAACCAAAGTTTCTAATCCAGACTTTTTCAAAAGCACGGCCACAATTGATCAGGAAATCTTAATCGGATTTTGTACCGTCGGGTTCTATAAAAGCTGGCTTTTCCCCGGTGGCGAACCTACCCACTTTCTCTCTGACGTTCCCAAACCGTGATAACATAATGCTTATGTACCCACGTAAGGGTCTCATCACCGATCCATACAACTCAGAGGACATCATCATACAAGACGACCAGTACCCACCTGATTTCTATTCCGAGAACGCCTTGCACTACGATCAATCTCGTTTGCAATCACCGTTCCAGTGCCACCCCAGTGTACAGCTTTCCCCGCCATCTTCCGCACCTTCCTCGCCTACTTTCTCCTCTCCGACTTTCTCGACTTCTTACCCGCAGACGTCTGACTGTCAGTCTTTCGGGGCTCCTTCGATGACCCCGGCGTCTTCATATAACCCGTCGTACGACATTCAGGGTTCCAATTCACCTTCGCCCTACTTGCATCAATATCCTCAGCAATATTATACGCCGATGCTGGTACAACAGCCTCTCGCCGGTAACCAGGGTTGGGACAGCAACCTACAGTTGTTGAGCCCCGCGCGCATCCCATACGCCGGTGTACAAAAGAGATCTTCGCCCTCAGCATCCTCGCGTTCAGCGCCCTCAGGCTTGGCACCCAACAACTACCACCGCCGTTCCAGCAGCGCCAACAAGCCCCTGCCCACCCCAGTGCAAACCCCGGTCCAGAACTCATTCCTTGCGACTCCCTTCCAAAGTTTCGATCCCTCCTCCCACGATGGTCACAATACCGAGGCCGAGTCTGCGATGAGAAAAGCGATCATGGACCAACAGAAGCAGTCACCCCCGCAGCAAATGCAGAATGACTACTCACTGGCTCCATCGGTGTCAACAATGAGCCATAACTCGCCGGTGACTCCGCAGACTACCCTCGACGAACTCGACGACGCATCCAAGTCGATGACCAATGGTGAGAATCGAATTCCTGATATTGATAGGTGGATGGACCAATACTTACGTTTCGACGCACCTCCAGAATATAATAGCGCCAATGGTGCCATGTCAATTGGAGTCCCCAAGCTGAACAGAACCATTTCCGATATATACCAAGACGAATTATATAACCCCACCATCATGGCTGCACCTCAGGTGTCCAAGCCGATGGGACAAAACCACCTCAACCCGCGCAATTTCATTGCCGATCGTCTGCAAGCTGCCAACCAAGGACATCTGTCTGCTCGCTCCCAATCGCCTGCCAACCGACGGGATCGCTCACCATTCCGTACCTCTTCTCCATTCGCCGGTGATATGGGCAACAACGCTCTCCAGCAGCCCCAGATGGCTAGCAGCATCCCCATGGGACAGAACTCTATGAACGGAATGAACATGGGCCAGACCTCGAACACTGGAGATATTAAGACTATGTCCCCCAAGGATGCAGTCTTGGATTTCCAAGACAACGACGATGCCATGCCTCCTCTGTTTCCCCCGGGTCAGGCTGATTTCAACCTGGGTGATGCGCTTGGCTTGCGACGCGATAGTGGCTCAATGCGACCGATGGAAGCATTCCCCCAATACTCAGTACCCAGCATGGCCCAGCCACAATTCGCATTTTCCGAACCTCAGATGCATCGCCCTCAGAGTCATGTCTTGCAACAGAGTACCGAGTTCCCTTCGCTTCCAGCGGTGGAATCTACCGAGAGCTCACCTCCAAGCCAAATGAATATGTCAATTACGGAGGGTATTCCCCGTCCCGGCAACACATCTTCGGATGCGGGCACCTACACTTGCACCTATCACAACTGCACCGACCGCTTCGACTCTCCCTCCAGACTCCAGCGACACAAGCGCGAGGCACACCGGCAAACAACACCGGGAGGCCACCTTGTTAGTCGCGACACCTCGCTCCGCAACTCTCAGGCTGGCCCGCACAAGTGCGAACGCATCAACCCGTCTACAGGCAAAGCATGCAATTCCATCTTCTCTCGGCCCTACGATCTTACACGGCACGAGCATACGATCCACACCGCCGGGAAGCAGAAGGTGCGCTGTCACATCTGTAACGAGGACAAGACCTTCAGCCGAAACGATGCTCTAACAAGACGTAAGTTTCGATTTACCCCTTCTAAGTTGATCATACGCTAATTACATTAATTACAGACATGCGAGTGGTTCATCCCGAAATCGACTGGCCAGGCAAGCAACGCAGGAGGAGAGACTGAGAGCGCCCTCCACGTCATAGTCTACCGGATCGGCATGCCGAACGTCATAGGTGGACCCACTTGGACCCCACCAAAAATCCGGGGCTTCGTCATGATGACGACATAGCTCTCTAATCCTCATGAACTCTCTCTGTATCACTATTCAGATTTCGATCTTTATTTATTATGTGTACGATTTTACGTTGATGATTTTGTTTTACATGCGCAAAGCCCATTTTAGCATTGGTTGGTGTGTTTTTTCTTTTGGTTTGGGAGGGTTTTCCCTCTATTTTCTGTCTATGCCTTTTGGCTCTGGGAAAAACAGACAGTTTTGGTGTTGTACATTTCTGTTGTACATGGTGTTGCTGCATTTTTCACCCCAGTACAGTGTGTCCCTCTTGTACTATAGTACATTCCTCCAAAAAAAAATGTATATTAGCTTTTTGGATATGACATAATTCATTTGGGTTGATCTAGTTATCACTCTCCACACTCCACTCTCCACTCTCCACTCTCCACAATAACATTGGAAACGGTGAAACACGCCTATTGCTTTAAAACAATCGAGGGATAGAATCGAATCCCTCGCACCCACCCACATCATGCCTGCATATTATATCCACTTATGTCAGCCATCTTCAATGCTCAGCGCCGATCTCTTGAGTACTACTCCGTATGTATGTGTTAGTTATGTGTGACACGATCATAGGTACTTTGTTTATAAGTATCTCGTACATTACACCTAGAATGATTAGAATTGACAAAAATACCCATGCCCTATGGGCATTGAATAATTGTATAATTGTATACTGTATAATGTAGATTGATATTGTGTATCGCAACATCTCCACGGACGAGTCCCGATTCGTTCCAATCGCATATTGTACACCGTACTCTGTACTCGGCATTGCATCAACAACGGCAATTACCCATTAATATCTTGTATAATCAATATATCATTATCGTAGCGAAGAGGTGCAACTTCCATGTGCCAAGAGTATGATCCCATGACTGCGTAATCCCATCAAGAAACCCTTGGAACAAACCCGAGCTCATCCACTCTCCGGCCTGATAAGCAACTTAGTTACCAGGACCCCGGTACCCGGTACTGGGATTATCTGGATAAGGATTTTGTGGGATCTTGGTTTGGGTGGGAGTGTCGACGTAGTTGTATACAATAATAGTACAATTTCAGCACCGAGTTCGGGATTTCATTCTTGTTCTTTTCTATGTCATAGAGTTGCTTATTTGGGTATATGGTTTTGCATAGAGGGGCTAGTACCCATGTGCCTCCGGGGTCTCATCCTTCATCTCTGATCTTTTGCTGGGTATGAATGTTGCGGTCATTGTTTTGATTGTCAGCGTCATTAATAGGAATTAGCTTCTATTCAAGGTTGTGTGTATTTAAAACTGGCCTTATCTGAAGTTGGGTTGGTATTTATCCTAACTTTTACCATGTACCGTACTAAATAAGCCACAGTAAATATTGTCCAATTGTCCAATTGTACAACATAAATATTTACGTTGTACACCCTTAAAATGATAGACTATAAGTGATAGACAGGGTGTACATCGGTGGGTCCATGGCTTAATATATGTGGGTCTTGTAATACGTTCGTTTTGTATTGGAGTGGGGGAGTGGGGAGGTGGGACGATGGTGGATGTGTGGCTGGGGAACTTCTCTTTTTTGAAGCCGATGATCGCGAAGTTCTTGCACATGTGATTATTTCATATGGTGTGATGGGTGAGCTGTTTTGGCTTCTTTCAATTGGGTTTTTCTTTTTCAAGTCACTCTTTCAGGTTGTTGGTGCTTTGCGATGCAAAATACTCCGTCAGTATACTATATCCCTTGCATGGTCATCGAGGGAGTCATATGAGATGTAAAGCGTGATGTACTATCGTGGTTACTATACGGAGTATAGTCTGTACGGCTAGGCAAGATTAGAGCAATCAATCATAACAAGCACATGTCGAAATACTCTAGTACTAACATCGTATTATCTTTCCCCAAACTGCTAACCTTCCCTATGTGACTTCAAAGGTAACACCCCATACCCATCATCTCATGCAAGTGCGTACTCTACACCTGCAGATTCCAATCCGACAACACACGTGTCTATATCACTCTATACATAAACATATTCCGGTCGGCTCTAGACAACTATGAAGCCATGCGGCCTCAGGTGAGGCCGATATGAAGAGAAAGATCAAAGTCCCCTGCGAGGAGTATGACCCTTTTTGCTTACCAGTGGTAGGTTCCATATTCTCGCCCTATATATCACTCGCTGAAACATCACACGGTTCAGTGTGGTCTTTGGTATCTATCCTCCAATGTCACTACAACTCTGACTCTGCAACCCCTCTCTCGGATTTGGAACAGAGCATCTACCCATTCGAACGACTGTTTTGACCTTTATCCGCGTTTGTTATCGCGTCTCTCGCCATGCATCTGGTGTCGACATCAAGCTACCTTTACTTCCTGGCTCTTCCCTGCCACTTGACCGATACTGTTCTTGTCGTGCCTATCGAACACCCTTTTTCGTCACCAACTTGACGTCCTCAGGCCCTGTCGCTGCCTGGTTATCTGCGGATATTTCAGAGCTCTTGCTGCTCTTTCATTTGATTATCAACCCTGATACGCCATTCTCAACATAAACCAAATTACTTATCGACGTACGGCCTCATCGTGTCCTCCATCAGTTGACCTTTTCGAAGCTTCAGTTTTTTTGGTTTACCTACTTCAACTTAAACCACACAATCTCATTCTCGTGGCTTGAGGTATCTATCCCCTACAATTCTCGAGATCCTGAAATGTCTGCGGGATACAGAGATTGCATTCCGGAAACCATTGGAAACCATCAAATCGCGGTCAGAGCTGGTAGTTTCAGGTTCACTGTTTCACAAACGCTTGGACTTGATGTCCGTAACGGCAACGAAGTTATTCTCCAATATCATCTAACTTCGACCCCACACCCACACGCTTATGCTCTTTCTGCTTTGAAAACAGATCCTGCTACCCGCTTGGAGGTTTCAATCCACGGTCAAGATAGCCACGGAGATTTTCATTGCTGGCTAAGAGCGACTGGAGAGTGCAATTTACGAAAAATGAACACATTGGTGGAGATTCTGAAAGGCTATTCTACCCTGGAAAGCCAGGGGTTCGGGAGACGTTGGTTTATTGCCGAGTCTCTGAATAGACCAAGTAGTGATCCGCCGGGGAGAAATAGGTACAGTTGATGTGATAAGACTGGAATTCTCGGAGTTCAGATAGTTGCCCAAAAGCCACCAATTCTTGTTTGGGTTTAATTTCGATTTCTCGGTACAAAATGAGTGTAGTATGTCCTTTATATCGCCCCTTGTTGCGCTAGGATCACATCTCAGAGCAGAGGGCCTGACATGCAATCAATGACTTAGTCGTGAAAAGCGATATTAACGATGAGTACGTTAGGCTAGAAATTCTGAAGGTAGAAAAGGCTCTGTGAGACCTGCAATTTAGCGGATTGTTGAATCCCCACACTAAAAAGAAGAGAACAAAAAAAAAGATAGACATAGCATGTCCTGGTTTCGATCCAGGGTCCTATTGATTGTTAGTTTGATGTTTGTGGGTTAAATTTGGTTGCGGTGAAACGTACCTCCGGGTTATGAGCCCGGCGCTCTTCCCCTGAGCTAACATGCTGATTGGTTGGAAATATATCACTGCAGTGAAATATCACTTGCGTTAGAAGAATACATTTTATATGATACTATATATAGTAAGCCATATGAAGCCACATCTTTTCTACAATTTTATATCACGAACTCCCGAGGTCCACTTCCACCGAAATGGGTGACTAAGCTGTGGATGCATATTTGGTTCTATCTTTTCGCTTTTATATCTAGCTAATTAAAGAATTATCAGTTAGTTCTTAGTTAAGTAACTAGTTAACTAGTTATTTCGTATATATTATCTAATGTGGCATTTGAATGTCCGAACTGGAAGATAGATCTATAAATTCCAGAGTAGCCCAGTATTCCAACATCCCAGCATGTTAGCTCAGGGGAAGAGCGCCGGGCTCATAACCCGGAGGTACGTTTCACCGCAACCAAATTTAACCCACAAACATCAAACTAACAATCAATAGGACCCTGGATCGAAACCAGGACATGCTATGTCTATCTTTTTTTTTTTTTTTTTTTTTCAAAAAAAGTAATTACTCCAGAAATACGTACACCTGTCTATGAAAACATACTCTGCTGGTGTCATATAAGATTCCATAACGTAGCTATACCCTGTGTACCTAAGTCGTTGTGTTCCTGCTTGCCCCCTATTGCTTTTGGTTCACAAGTAACTATCTCACTTATATATATATATCAGCTTGTTACATATGATGTAGGAACCTAGATATATTATTAAAAATTAGTATGTGATGGTGAGTTGAGTTAACACGCCAAATATTTCAATATTTGCGCCGAGAGGAACAAGGCGATATCCTGCTAAATCACTGACATGAACACTTTCCATATTTCTCAAGTTTGATAATAGCCCTACCTTCGATCCTAAGTCTAACTCACATGTACACCATTCAATTAGATACTCCCGTTTTGACCAAGTACACACATACTTCCCTCAATCCCATCCCTCTCTATCGTTACTAACGAGCTACGCAAACACAACTCAGTTCCCATGCTGTGGTGCCATTGCGTACTGCCTCAGGCCACCAACTATACAGCTTTACCAACAATACCCAGACACGGTTGAAGTATTTGACCCATGTGCATTGTTACCACCAGTACATACAGTATCACTCCCTGAGCCTCATATCCCCGATTCGCCTCCCCAAAATTAGATTGTGCAAATCTAAAAATTCCGACTGATCACCGATTATAATGGAGAGGGGGTGGTATTCAAAGTGGGGGCGGAAATCCCCCAATAGCCGGAGTCTCCTATCTGGCATCCATATCCATCAAAGAAACATAAAGCCATTAAAAATCCTGTTCATATTCTCTGCATAAATAAAACCCCTCACCTTCATGACCCCCAGATATTTTTAAACAAGCAAAATAGCCAACACTAGTGGAAAAAGAAAAGAAGAAAAAAAAAGGAGGGTCATTCGGCCAACCTGAAACCAACCACCAACCAACACCACCCCCAACCCAAAAGAAACCACCTATACAGACAAAATGGGCCAAAAGGCATCCCTCCCACAACCAGGAGCCCAAATCCAAGTCATCGGTGCTGGACTACCACGCACAGGAACCTCATCATTCAGCCAAGCGCTAGAAATCCTCCTGCAGGGACCGGTGTACCACTGCGGCACGCAAATATCCAGAGGACCACCAACGGAGATAAAAAGCTGGATGCCAATTCTACAAAACTGGCTCAAAAAAGACGACAGCACAAGTCGGGACAAGATGCTCACACTCCTGCGCCGCCGATTGGCAGGCTACGTCGCCATCACCGACTCACCAGGCTCCGAGCTCATCCCGGAACTCATGGAGCTGTTTCCGGATGCCAAGGTCATCTGCACAACTCGTGATCCTATCGTATGGGAGAGGAGTATGCTCTATGTGCAGAGTTTGACCGGTGTTTGGTTTGCCCGTGCTGTCCTCCTCCCGCTGGACGGGATGAGGCACTTTATCCCGTATGGGTATTTGCTTGCGGCCCTCTGGGAGAGGCTTTATGGTGGTGTTGCCGGTCAGCATGGGAGGGAGACCTATGCGAGTCATATTGCTTGGTTGAAGGAGGTTGTACCTGAGGATAGGTTGGTTTTCTTTGATGTCAAGGATGGGTGGGGGCCGTTGTGTGAGGCTTTGGGTGTCGAGGCTCCAGTTGGTGTGCCGTTTCCACGTATCAATGATTCGGAGGCTATCGAGAGGTCTGTAAATCATCATTTACGGAGGGGTCTTACTCACTGGGCTTGCATTTTTGGTGTGATTGGTGTTGGGGTGGCGGCCTTTCGCGTGTGGAGGTGAGACTATTGTATAGCGTGAGTGGATGATGAGAGGTGATCGGGGTGGTTGCGGAGGTTGGTATTGTGAATTTGTGGGGGTTTTGGAAATCTTTTGGTGTCCTCGAACTTCAACACTTCAGCGACTTGCATGCCTTGGATAACGTTCATTTATTTAAGGGCCAGGTGGAGCATCAGTCAAAGACTCATCACGAACAAACGAGATAGATAGATTTATACAGTCATTTGCATAGCCATTCACACATAAGATTTATGTCATCTATGTTCGTTGGAATATGTTAACTATAGAAAATATGAAACCGAAATACATTGGCCCAAATATTATACCGACATGTAAGATTCTATGCACAGCCGCAAACCTTGAAATTCATAAGCGTAAATCCGATATCATTGACGAGCCCGCTCGAGTGATGGTATACTCTCGCCTCCACAATCATTTCGTTCGAAGGTAGTCTCGATCTCCGTGTGAGCGAAGATCTTGCCCCCGGGAATAATTCGCTCCTGGCTGGAGTTGCTGGCCGCGCCAATATTGGTACCCATGGGAATATCGTCCTTGCCAGTGACTGTGATCATAGTGAGGCTGTTGGGGTCTCTGACCTTGGCGAATCCAGATGGATACCTTGGGGAAACATTGTTATTGTTGTTGTTGCCGCTTGACCAAGGGCCATATTTCCTCCCGCTGCTGTACTCGCCGATGAAACGTGGCACGAAGCGGGACGCAATTGCCTTGAATGACGGGATTGAGGCGGCAAAGATGCCGACATTGGTTTCGATTACCGTCCAGTACATGGCACCGCTGATGGCGTACGTGGCGTCCTTTGAGCTAAGCATGGTAGGGATGTAAGTGATTCGGATGATCGAGGAGATGCATGCGCTGCAGAAGGTAATCCGTTAGAAAGCGTCTAGGTGAAGTACTGGGGTACACTTACAAAAGACCAAGACAGAGGATAAAGGCCAGAACCACCTTTTGTTTCCGAGGCACCTGGAGATGGAGGACGACCTTGAGGGGCAAGGTATAAGTTAAGAGATCGGTGGTAATGTTCAGGGCGGCGTTGCACAGGTAGAAAAGGTTGATGTTGACGCATTTTCCGGGACCAGTGCCAGTCCAGGCCATGCTAATGGGTTGACATTGGAATGCAGCCACGAGAACGAACGAAGTGGCTTGGGCAATAATAACTCCCATCATAACCCAGGACAGGCGAGTCAGATAGCGATCTCCGAGGCGAGTATAGAACCACAGCACTGAGGTTTTGATGAATCCAAGTGCTGCGAGATAGAACATTGAGCTCAGCCAGACGGCCTGGGGAGGTGTTAGAGATTCAATGCTATACAAGGTCGGGGTCTGTATCCTTACAAAAGCATAGTCGGCCATCCCGCTCTGGTCGACATATTCAATGTGTTGTCCAAGTCCATGTTTGACCGCTAAATAATATTAGCTTCTGCAAATAGCTGTAGGAAGCAAAGGTGGAACATACCGACAAGTGTGACAGCAATAAATGACCAAGACAACGCCTATTTCTATTAGTTATAAAACATTGCTGACGATAGAAACCAGTTTCCTTACACAGGCGCCAACAATAAGGTCTGTAGATGTCAGTATAGTGTTGGTAAAACAGATCAAGCATAATCCACTTACAGTCATCTATGCCCATTTGACCCAAGACAAAAATGCGTGCAAAGAGACGAAGAACCAAAACAACAAAGGTTAAGGCGGCAAATGCCACACATATGCCCACAACTACAGGGCCCTGAGAACCATTGGTAACAGCCATGATGGAGAAATATGGAGGGATCAAACAGAAATGGAAAGAGAGAGTAAAGACCGTAAATTGATGTAAAGGAATGAATTAGTTTAAATGAATGGCATAGGTAATCGTTTCACATGTCCATATCATGGAGAACGGATGGCCAAGGTCACTTAAGTATCATTGAAAAACACCAAGAAGAATGGCCTTGGTACCCCGGTCTACAATTTATAAAGATATTTTATCTCTGATACCCCTGGGACTAGGGAATAAAATGACTGCGCAGACCAGATATGCGCATTATGCATGGATCTAGTAGTCCATGAGATCCACCGTATACCATCAAAAAGACCGTTGACAAAAAAAAAAAAAGAAAAGAAAATATGATCGGGATTTACACGGCCTTCACTCTTAGGGCAACACGAGATAGACGAGACTGTCAGAACCGAGCATGTCCACCACTCGAGACCTTTGGTGATCCATGCATGCTAAAACACGCCTGCCGTCTATGTGGAGGGCTCCAGTTTCACCTTATTCGGAGAAAAACAGGAAGAGTCCTGGGGCGGAGATTCCAACACTATGATTTGCCACTCAAAGGGCTGAAAGGGCATCTCCGATTTTTGATGTGCAACCGTTGGATATATCATTCTTTGACAAACCAAGTCCTAATCCCTGTTCATAGGGACATTGTTCCGGGAACAAGGAGCCATTGTGCTTTAGCACTAAAGATATCCACTCGGAGACCGGGATGGGATTGGCTCGAATAGGGGGATCCAGTCGTTGACCGACACATTTGACGTCTCGAAGACGATCATTATGAATTCATTGCCAAGTTGAACTATTACTTATAACATAACCAACAAAAAGTAGAAAAAACAAGATTTGAGAGAGCGAAACGAAAAAAAGAGTCCGTGGGTCTCGGAAGATTCCCGGCATGGAGAGATCTGATTTATTTTTACTTCCATGCTCATTGAGATGTCCGATGGTGATCCTAATATTTTCATATGATCTAGGTTGGATAGGTTGGATAGGTTGGATAGGTTAGAAGGAGTAAATCGATAACCCTAATTCAACGGACAAAATAAAATTGAACCAGAGTGACGAGAAACCCCAACGGAACTATTCCTCGAGAATTTTAATTATAATCTCGAGAGGGGAGCTGAACAATCTGCACGTTTCAAAACCCCAAGAGCTTTTGTCAATGCGCTCACTTACGGAGTAATGGACAGTGCCTTGCCCGTGATACACAGACAGACTGGAAGGCATTCGCTATGCAGCCCACCTCCGATCTACACAACTCCATTTGCCTTCCCAGCCGTCCTGGAGAGTGTGGATCGCCCATAGTGACGCCTTGGGTAAGCGAGATTGGCTACGGTGTAGACTGCAGATGATCTGGCAGTCTGTGCATATATGTGATATGAGAGGAGTAAAAATCTGCACTGCATATTTGTAAGAATGCAAAAGTACGAGGCCATAGAATCAACTATTACATATCACGCCCCTTTCCGCAAAGAATCTTAGAGATCGAAGCCTATCAATTTCAATTTCAATTTCATTTTATCATTCCCCAGACTAGAAGTATAATAGTATAGTATACAACATAACTTGACCTTGATATGTCTCATAAAATATCTGTTTCTCTTCTTTTTCTCTATTTTTCCTTTTTTTTTTTTTAAGGGGGAAACTAGTGGAGAATCAAAAGTCGGAGACTAACTTGTTTCAAAGGCTCTCTCATCGGCGTTCTAACGCCTCACGGCTTATGCCAAGCACCTAACACTTGGTGTGCCCCAACGATAGGTACCTTTTGTATTGACACACCATACAAAGGGTACAAAGATACGGAATCCATATCCTTCATTTCCCTCAATCTTCAATGTTGTAGCCAAAATATAAGAGTACTTTGTACATAAAGATTGTATGTAGAAGTTAGATGTTCTATTATCGTGTACTTGACATTCCTTGCTAATTAATATCAATACAAAATTAACTAAAGCCCTTTTACATATATAGAATAACGTGTACAGTTGAGAAAAATAAATGTTGGGGTTTAGACCACTTGTACCTTTAGTATGAGAATCACATACAAAAGATACCTCTTAACTAGTCAAAAGTTCATTGTCCACTAGAAAACCTCGGAAGTCATTTTGGACATTGCAAGTCATTTTCACCACCTAACTATTCCAAGGGTTTACCTACAACACCAACAAGGGGTAGACGACCTTTCTTATATTGGATATCCTGATCCCCTTGCCACATTCATTTCAAGGGAACGCCATCGGCATATGCATGCGGGTTCATAACACTCTCGCACGAGGGCTGGGCCGTCATCACCTGCAGCTTCACGTACAGAGACCAGTGAGAAACACTGGTTATTCCATAGTGGAGAACGCCAGCCTCCCACTCCACTGACTTAGTGCGAGGTATGCACTTTGTTGTGCCTTTGGCCATGTGCAAATGATGCTCGAGAACCCGGAAGGCCTTGTCTCGCATTCGGCAATGGAACTCCAAAGTTGTTACTCCGTATAATATCCCGTGTTGATCATTGTCTCGAATATCAGGGGCAACGGCGCCTTTTCCCGACGGAGCGTGCCGGACCCGCACGGCCCCCTTTGACGGCTAGCAACGTCTTTCTCCATCTCCAGAATATCTTTACTACTTTAGGCAGCTATGCTACGACGGAGTCGGTATTGCTAGGGATACGCGTTGCAGTGGACCATCCACAAAGCCGCGATGCTGAATAAATAAGCGGAGTCGCAATCCCTCTGCAATTCACCAATGCTCTTAGCGCAAGGACTAGCACGAAGGGGGAAGGGCAGATGCAGTGAGATGCCACATGCTGGGAATATCTTCAACCGTTTAGACCTAGCTTGGTCTAGGCTTGCACAATCCCCACAACGCTGCGTGCTCGTGGGGTGCTGCTCGCTCGACATAGCCCCTTGGCCAATGACCTTTTGGCTCATACTACAATGGATATCCTGTTTAATGCGAATGGTCGTTCGTGGTTCTTTAGCTCCTGAGGGGCTATTTCTTCCCCTCGATCAAAACGACGCATTTTCATCTTCCATGTACCAGCATCTCTAAATCCGCCATGGGTCTTGCGGAAGATCTTCTGTCACTGGTGACGGTGACCAATGTCATCTTGGGTCTTGTGGCCTATGTCGCGCTCAAGTTTGGCTGGCAAGTTATTTACTATCGCTTCTTCAGTCCACTTGCGAAGTTCCCCGGTCCTTTCTGGGGCTCTGTAACTCGTCTCTGGATCGCATGGCATAATCTACAGGAGACCGAGGTGCCAACTGTTTATGCGCTTGCTCAGAAATATGGTTGGTCTTGACCTTATCTCCAACAGGAATATGATTTCTAACAAGTGAATTCTCTCAGGCCCCGTTGTTCGCATTACCCCGACATTGTTGTTGGTCAGCGATCATGAAAAGCTTCCGGAAGTCTACCACCGCAATGCGGACAAGACCGGACACTATATCACTGGAAGCTTCGGCGAGACCGAATCCCTGTTCAACATGAGGTCTCACAAGACCCATGCCGTGTTCAGAAAACACGTTGCCGGACCGGTACGACTATATACGAGTTCATTTGCAGATACCAAAAACTGACCCTCAACGCAGTACAGCTTCAGCAATATCAGAAAAATGGAGCCACTGGTTGATGCGCGCATCAACCAATGGACCACCACACTCAACGAAAAGTTCGCGAAGAGCGGCGAAGCCTTCGACTTCGCCTGGTGGGCAGTGTAAGCAGCACACAAACCAAATGAAACAATGCCCCAACTAACAATCCAAACAGCTACATGGCCTACGACATCATCAGCGAAATCGGCTTTGGCGAGCCCTTCGGCTTCATCGAGAAAGGCGAAGATATCGGCGGCCTAATCCAAGGCTTCCACGACGGCCTCCCAGCCTTCGGCCTCCTAGCCCGCCTACACCCCTTCACCTCATGGATAAAAACCACCTTCCTGAAAAAAATACCTCGTCGCCAAACCAGAAGACAATTCCGGCATTGGCGTGCTAATGCGCTTCCGCGACCGCCTCATCGACCAACGCATTAGAGACATCCAAAACGGCAAGAAATCCGACCGCACAGACCTACTCCAGACATTCCTCGATGCTCTCACCGAAGACGGCAAGCCCCTGGATCTGGAGTACATCCGCGCCGAAGTCCTGCTCGTCCTTCTTGCCGGCGCTGACACAACAGGCACCGCCTTCCAGGCCATGGTGCAGTTCCTCCTGACCCACCCGGCGGCGTACAAGCGTATGATGGAAGAAATCGATAACGCCGTCCGTAAGGGCCTTATCTCAGATATGCCTCAGTACGATGAGGTGCTAGAGCACCTGCCTTACTATGTTGGCTGTGTGAAGGAGACTATGCGGCTGTGTCCGTCTGCGCCGAATATCTTCCCCCGGTATGTCCCTGAGCCCGGACTCGATCTGTATGGTCGCTTTGCGCCGGCGGGCACGGAGATTAGCTGTAACCCGTACCTTGTGCATCGGGATCCGAAGCTTTATGGGTATGATGCCGAGGAGTTTAAACCTGAGAGGTGGCTGGATGTTGAGAAGGCCAAGTTGTATAACAAGTATAACTTTTCGTTTGGGTATGGATCGCGTGTTTGTTTAGGGAGGGATATTGCTATGATGGAGTTGTTTAAGGGTCCTTTGCAGGTGAGTTCTTTTCTTTTCTATTTTTTTTTTGGAGTGGATGCTAATGTGTCGTTTAGTTCTTCCGTCAGTACACGCCACAGACTGTACAGGATAAACCCGGGGCTAAGTTCATGGTCAAAGGTGGTATTGGCTACTGGAGAGACGTGTGGTTAACCATCTCTCCCCGGGCAGAGGTGAAAACTGAGTGAAAGCTTAATGCGCTTTGGAGAGAATAACTATTGTCGAACTCGAGAAATCCAGATGAGGTTTATACCCAACCATCAAATAAAGACGTTAGATCTGAAGATAGTATTGATAAAAAGACCACGGATTCATAAAAAATGAAAAAAAAGAAAGGTTGGTTCCAGAGGGGGTCGAACCCTCGACTTTGACGTTATTAGCATCACACTCTAACCAACTGAGTTATGGAACCGGATTATGTTTTTGTAAGAAAAAATTGGACATATCAATGTATCTTGATATTTACCGGAGTGAGCAAAATTTGGTACTTTATAACAGAAATCTGACTAGTTATATAGAGGTGTATGCGTATGACTCTAAGATTGATGTTATCCCTAAGATGCCATGAATGGTAGCGGTATCTTTATAAAACAGCAAACGTATTCAAAATAAGACAAAGGACGGGACTGTCGTGGAATACAATAGTATTGACCGAAAGGGAACTATATGTAAATGAGAACTATCGTATGAACACAACAAACAAGATGCAAGTCAGGACAAGTTTTGTTGAATGCTTTTGCTAATCCGCTGACCAGCCGGTAGAACATGGAACATGGCATGGCGTCAAATATGGAAAATAGAAAAAAAAAAAAAAAAAAAGCTCGGGAAATTTATGAGACATTCATGATCATTCAGCAGTACCCATGACGGCGTCCTAAACACAAAGACAATAAATGTTAGCAATGGAGCAATAAAGAGAGAATATAATCAATGTGTCTACTTACTCTTGCCTCATGGTATAAAGGAGTGATACCAGTCCAGTGAACGAACTGGTGCACACCCTGTCCAACAAGGACCTCCAGTCCAGGAATGGTGGTCCAACCCGCATCAGATGCAAGCTGCATCAAGGCGGTGACGGTAGGCTTGTAGGCCATCTCAAGAAGAACACGGTGCTTGCTAGCGTCGGAAGACTTGCCGATGAGAGTACCGTCGATATCCTGAGCGCGCTCGAACATGTGGCAGAGCGTCTCGCGCATGACAGGGTCGATGGGTCGGTCAGCGGGGATCGTGCCGATAGCAACCTGGGGAACGGTGTCAAGCTGGGCCCGGTTGTCTACGACACGGATGTTGTAGTTTGTCGGGAAGGTCGAGACCATGCCCTCGAGCTTGCTAGCGGTGCGGCCCACAACGTAGATTGGGGAGAAGCCCATGTCGTGGAGGGCGAAGATGGCAGCACGGGCAGTACCGCCGCCGCCGATGACCACGGCACTCTCGTTGCCGGTGGAGCCGTAAACGCCTGCGTTGCGCATGCATCGGATCATGCCTTGCCAGTCGGTGTTGTAGCCAATCAGACGAGGAGGCTTGTTGCCGTTGGGGACGGGCACGACGGTGTTGACGGCACCGATGATTTCAGCCTCCTGGGCGACTTCGTCGAGCAGGGGCATGATGTCCAGCTTGAGGGGGATTGTCACTGAGGCACCGCCGAAGTCGGGGGCGCGGATGAAGTCCTTGACGTCTTCGATGTTGGTAGTCTCCAGGCGAGAGTATTGGTGGGGTAGACCCATTTTGCCGAAGAGGGTGTTGTGGAGAGCGGGGGACCGCGAGCCAGAGACAGGAGAACCGAATATAGCGAACTTCTTGGCCTTGATCTCACCCATCAGGGAGAGACCACGGCGAATCTCTGTAGCGGACAGCTGACCAGGTGCCGCCTTGAAAGGAAGGCTGGGGTGAGACACCGGGGTCATGAAGCCGTTCAGGATACGGCTGAGCTGACCACTGTCGCCCATGTTGATCGCAATCAGCGGCACATCATGGGATTCTTCAGCCCATGTCTTGAACTTCCGAAGGGCATTGTTATCATCAAGGGTATTGGCAACACCGACGAGCTTGATCACATCGCCGTACTCCAGAGCACGGTTGTAGGATTGCATCCAGGACATGTTGGCCCACGACAGAGTGCCCTTAGGATCGTGGTGCGAGGCGATGATCTTAGAGTAACCCTTCATCTCTGTAACGGCACGGAGCATTGCATCTGGGAACGCGATTTCAAGATCCACGAATTCGCACCCAGAACGGAACGCTAGTCGGTACAGCTGCATTGCCGCATCATGGGCATCATCGGGGAAGCGGCCACCTTGGCTCTTGGTGCGGATAGTGAAGATGACCGGCAGGGTGGTACGACCGCGAAGGATAGACATTTGTTCGTTGACGTAGTCAACCGAGGGAATGTCGCCGTCAACTGTAGGGTCCTTCAACAGGTCGACCCGCAGTTCAACAGCGTCAGACCCGACACAAGCCTCTGTGATAATATCGCCCGACGGTTGGAGATCAGGCAGAGTCAATGAGACGAAGAAGCTGTGCTTTTTCTTCTTAATGAGACCAAGGTTGTCTATTTGGCCAGTAACTACCCGCATAAAGCGAGTAAAGTCCTCTGAGGCAAGGGCTAGCTCCGTTGAGGTAGCGTGCTGGCTATAGTACTGGATGTTGCTGCACTCTTGGAACCAAGGCTTACGTCGCAGCCACACGCCCATCATGTCCTCCACGTAGGCAGGGCGGGTCTTATCGATCTGGAGGAAGTCCATCACCAGCTTGATATCGCGCATAATAAGGAGCACGTTACCCTTGCTCTTGTGGTAGTCAGTAAGCAGTTTTCGCGCCTCTGGCATTTCGACAACACCTCCGCCGCAGGCGAAGACATGGCCAGTAGGATGATCCTTAAGGACGCGCTGAAGGATAGCGAGTTCTGCGTCTCTGAATCCCTCCCAGCCGCGTGTCTTGATTATATCGGGGATAGCTATACCCTCGGAAGTCTCAAGCTCTGTATCAAGATCGACGAAACGACGACCGAGGGCCTTAGCAACCCAGTTGCCAGTGGTGGTCTTTCCAGCGCCACGCATACCGATGATGAAGACAGAGGCGCTGCTCCGCTCCACATCGCTCGAGGCAGAATGCTCATCTTCCTTCAGCTCTTTACCGTTGAGATTCACGCTGAACATTTGCTTCAAGGCATCCCACCAGCCAGGCCAGGTCTTGCCAACACATTCTTTCTCCAGAATAAGGGTAGACTGGGGAGTGATAAGAGACAGCACGCTGAAACTGAACGCGACCCGGTGGTCATCGTAACAGAAAACACCACCGGAGGGCTGGCGAAGGGTAGAACGATCAATGCCGTCGATCTCAAGCCCATCGTCATGCTCACGGCACACCACCCCGAATTTAGCCAGTTCGTCTTTCATGGCCTTGATACGATTGCATTCCTTGACACGCTGGTTTGCGATACCGTAGATACGAGTTGTGTGGTTTGAGCCATTGCCCCGGGCAACGGCCGCGAGAACAGAGGCAGTAAGGAAGGCATCCGTCATGGGCTCCATATCCACATTAGGCAGTGGCTGCAAAACGCCATCAGTAGGTCCGGTAACAGTGGTTGAAGTATCAGTCTGTACAACGGAGCAGCCCATAGGCCGTAGAACATCCACTGCGAAACGAGCGTCGCCCTGAAGGGACTTGGATCCAATGTTAGGGACGGTGCAGGTGGTGCCAGTAACGGCAGCAATAGCCAAAGGATAGGTTGCAGAGCTTGCGTCGCTCTCCACAACATATTCGGCAGGGTTCACATAGTGAGCCTGAGGAATGTGGTAGGTGTGCTCCTCGGTGGTAGACTTCTTCACGTCGATGCCGAAAGATCTCATCATCGCAGTGGTCATGTCGATATAAGGCTGTGAGATGGGCTTACCACCGACCAGCTTCAACGTCACTGGCTCCTTGGCGTATGGAGCGCACATAAGCAGCGAAGAGACATACTGAGAGGAAACTTTGGCGGCCAGATTGATTTTTCCTCCAGCGAAGCCTCCAGAAGCGGCAATCTTGAGAGGAAGGCATCCCTTGCTTTCCATGTACTCGACACCGGCACCGTTAACAGTAAGAGCGTCAACCAGATCACCAATAGGTCTTTGCTTCATACGGTTGTTACCGGTCAGGACACTCGAGTCGACACTGCTGGGAGTAGCAAGTGTAGCCACGGTAGTGAGGAATCGCGAGGCAGTACCAGCGTTACCCAAGTACAAGGGCGAAGGGCTTGCGATAATCTTTCCACCTTTGCCGTTCACAACAAGAACCTCACCTTCCTCCTCCCAAGAGAAAGTTGCTGCGCCGAGTCGCTCTAGGGCATTCAGCATGACTTCAGTGTCATCGGAGTGCAAGAGATTCGTGATGCGACAGGTTCCAGAACCAAGCGCAGCAAGCACAAGGGCACGGTTGGAGATACTCTTCGATCCGGGGGTGCGCAAGTAACATTAAGCGACTTTGGCACACCGGGGTGAACCTCAACACTGGGAGCAAGGACGACACCAATATCCTCATTAGAGACGACACTGGCCTTTGGCTCATGAGTGCGGCCAATCGCCGACAAGAGCACAACCTTCTTTTTCGGGCCATCGTTCTTCTTGTCCAAAGCCATGTTAAACAGCAATTGGTCTACAGAGCAGTGCTTACCAGCAGTCAACTTGCGAACCCGTGGATCTTTCATGGAAGTGGGCAAGCCATAGGCCGATATGCACTTTACCACACGAGCGACGGCGACACCCTTCAGGGTGCCCAAATGTCTCGCAAGCTCTGCCTCCTTCACCATGCCGATTGCGACACACTCGCCGTGAAGAATTTGAGGGGTAAGGATCGCCTCAATGGCGTGTCCAATAGAATGACCCCAGTTGAGCAGGTTGCGAAGGCCACCCTCGCGCTCATCTGCGGAGACAACAAAGGCCTTGTGACGTGCCGATGCCAAGATTCTAGCCTTCAGGATATCCCGAATGCCGTCGAAGCGACCTTGGCCAGCCCTCGGCTCGCTACGCACAGCAGCCAAAATTAATTCTGCGTTATCTTCCAAGGCAGTGAATTCCTCTTCACTTGAGATGGCAGCAGTCTTAATGACCTCGGCCATGCCATTGATGAACTCTCGGATGGGGAGAGTCTCGAGGAACTCGAGATCAATGTAGATTCTTGATGGCTGCCAGATAGAACCAATGAGGTTCTTACCAAGCGGAGTGTCAATAGCTGTCTTTCCTCCAATTGAGGAGTCCACCATGGCAAGGAGCGTGGTTGGGACCTGCACGAAGCGCACACCTCGCATGTAAGTTGCTGCAACAAATCCAGTCAAATCCCCAATCACACCACCACCCAGAGCAATGATCACCGTGTCCCTACCACATGGCGGGTTCTGGCTTAGCATCCAATCTTCGATGTCAGCCTTTGTTTGCCGTGATTTGGAGCTTTCTCCGGGGGCCGTATGGTGGATGAGGAGTCGTGGGGCTGGGGTGACGGAAGCAGCGGCAGCCTCAAATGTCTTTTGGAAAGTGGGAGTATAAAGAGATCCGAGGTTTGTATCAGTGATGAGGACGTAGGTCGTCGAGGACAAGTCACTGATCAAGTCCTTTGCGACGAAATTGCGCCAAAGACCAAAATCAGCGACAATGCTCTCCCGGCCCAAGATGCTGATCTTGGTGGGTTCAGACATTGTGAAGGAGGATATAGATGAAGACTCGGTAATGGCAAAGTTCAATGACTGCTCATTTCATTCTGTGACTTGTTAGTACACCAACTCACAGTACTTTATCTGTTTCCCCCACAATGAATCTAGGGATACAACCTTGGAAGGTGCACACCGATCATTTGGAGGGTATTGAATAATTAGAAGAGATTGACGAACCTGGACAGAGCTGAGCTAAGAGCCAATAGTTTATCAAGAGAATATAATCTCCAATTCAAGAGTGAACAAGATAAAAAAGGAAAAAGAGTATTGTTTCCCCTCCGGTGTCGCGGGCAGTTTCTTGACCGCCCGGTGACTCAATCTGTCGATCTACCTAACTACCTAGTTAGTTACTCCGTAGTTACTCCGTATACGAAGTACACACTTGTAGATCTATAGAATCATCTACGATTTATATATAACTATGGTACAGACTTGTATTCGTGTGTTGCAACTTTTCTACCAGCTTAAACGAGTTTTAATTCAGACTATGAAATCAACATATTATCCAAAAATTCAACTTAGCCGACATCGCCTGTTTTGAACGCGAACCTTACAAATAGGATTAGGTCAAATCAATTTCGATTACCGAGTCCAACTCGATTGTTGCGTTTGACTTGACTGCATCCAGCTGATCTGGCGAACTCAATGTACTTGCCAATGCCGAGTTAAATACCGCCTGTGTACGCTCATTCGATCCTGTGTTGCGAACTTTCGATGGCCGAGTGCTGCCTTTGGAAACACCACTATTACACCGGCTGATTTGCGTCTTTGGAGCGGCCTGGAAACGTTTGCCGGAGTGCTTTACTTCAGGGCCAGTGTTTTGGTCAGGGCCAACCTCTTCTCCACGGCCTGTCTCTCTGGCGCTCTGGTTTCCCATTTGAGCACAGTGGCTGGCGAGCTGTACAAGAGCCTGATCGTTTGCCGCGTTGCACCCGATGTAGGTCCGTTCAATTGTCTGGGCATATTTCTCGACCAGTCCATCGATACCAGGGAACTGGGTATTGGCTTTATCTTTTTCAGCTTGGTCAGACTCCACTGAGAGTCGAACCTGCTGAAATTGCTCGCATAGCTTGCCAGCAAACTGATACAGCATTTCACGAGCGCCGGGGCAATCCCCGAGGGTTCGTTCCTTAGGGAAACCGATATTGTTGCGCCCTGAGGTGGCCGGAAGCGCATTCCTAGGCTCCAGCGTGTTTGCGGAGTGCGGTAGTGTTGGTACCTCTTCAATGGGGATGAGAGATGGGGATGGAATATTAAGTCTTTCGGTACCAGGTTCGCGGTGCCACATCACAGGAGCTGCGTATATTATTTTGTATGGTCTGGTCTCCTGTAATACCTGATTAACATGTGTCCAACGAAGAATGGCGAGCGAATGAAAAAAGTCGTATGCATCAAGTTCCGGGGGACTCGTGTCGAAATTGCAGTGGGGGAATATCGTTGGGGCAACACGCATGAGCTGAATTATACACCATTTCAGGAATGCAAGGTAGTGGATCTCGTCAGTTCCAGTCACAGGCGATGCCATGGCATCCTCATATTCGCTGTGAACGTGTCGCCAGAGTGAATGAAACAAGAGTTCCCGTCTTCCTCCGCTGAACACGCTGAACTCAGTCTTGATCTGCCGGTCCGACCACATGGTAATAATTCGCCGAGCTTCTGTGTTATCATGGCATAATGTCTTGATCCCCCATGTTGTTGGCAAGTTCAAGGCACCAGCAATACGAGACACAGTCTTGTGTAGATCTCGGGCCCATGTAAACTCATACAAAATCTCAGGTTCATAAGAGAACTGACGAGATGATGTACTCATTTTAGGAATGATGGATGTATGGTGAAGCATGACGGAAGAAGCTTAAAATGTGTCCTTCGATGAGCATGGGTAGAAGAGTGAAAGAGAAGTCTAGGTCGACGTGAACGGGGGGTTTAAATAGGCACTATGGCTTGTTTGCTTTAGGAATATGCTCTGAAGCACTTCTTATCGGTTATGTGGTGCACACAAACTTTCCAAGAGATCTCCATGGGTGCTAGCAGCCATTCAATTAAAAAAATGTAGATCACTCCAATATGATGATAAATCATATACCCAACCTAGTTACATAGGTACCTGGAGATGCCGCGAGGTTGTACATACATATTTGTAGGTTCCACTATCAGGCCTATTGGAGCGTATAACTTCATAGACAGCACAGTGCTAGCCTGCTAGGATTAGTATGCGTATGCAGCGTAGACTTTAATCGTTATTTCTGGAAGTCAAGGTGTTATCCATATAACATGCACGAATGAGGAACGGAAGATGTCAAAATAAAATCAAGTAAATCTTCTGTATTGGACGTCCGGCTCACCAGACCCCTACTACTCGCCCTAGGTCGGCGAAAAAGCCAATAGGAGCGAAAATAGGGAGAATGACAGAGAAATAAATCAGTCTTGGAATGACACACAACAGATACCTACTCGAGCTGTGGAATTTTGTGGCATCACACCGTGAATCACTGAAAAATTGGGATATTTGTTTGCCTGACTATTTACACATGAGCACATGTCCATCACTCATCTTCCTCATCGTCGTCATCGTCGTCGTCCTCGGCCTCCGAGACTTCCTCTCCGAGCTCCTTGAGCCGTTTCTAAGATAATCGTTAGTCAGTTCTCGGAGAGGCAAGAGCAGCTCGAGAATATATCGAGCCATTAAACATACCTTGTCCTCCGTCCGCTTAGCTTCAAGGTCTCCAAAGACAATCAGCAGGTCTTCCAGTTCAGACTGAGCTGACTGGCGAGCTTCTTCCTTTTCTTTAGCTTCAGCTTTAGCCTTGTCGAGCTGGACCTGAATGCTTTTGAGGGTTTCAGCTGCACTACGGGCGTGGGACTCGGCCTTTTTGGCCTTGTCCTCGGCCCCCTTGGCTCGTGTTTCCAGAGCAGAGGCCTGAGATGCATTGCCTTCTTGGGTGGTTTCAAGATCATTGCTAGACTTCTGAGCCTTAGCAAGGTCTGACTCCAGAGCTGCGACAGATTGCTTTAAAGTTGTGATCTCGGCTTCATGCCCTTTTTTGGCTGCGGCGAGATTTGACTCAAGAGTTCCGACTGTATCATTGTGGCCAGTGGATTCAGCCTCGTATTGCTGCTTGGTTGTAGAGAGAATAGACTCCAAGGTTTCAACCTTGCTCTTGTAGTCGCTGACTTCCGCCTCGTGATGTTGCTTGGCTGTGGCCAACGTGGATTTCAGGCTCTGCAACTTTTTGGTGAGATCGGTGACTTCTCCGTCGTGGGTTCCCTTGGTGCTTTCAAAGTCCTTGATTTTCTTGTTGAGTTCTGCCACCTGTCCATCATTGGCTCTCTTTGTGTTTTCTAGGTCTTGAATCTTCTTTCCAAGACTGGCGACCTGTCCACCGTGGGCCTCCTGGGACTGGCTGATCGTGTCCTGCAACTCCTGGATATTCTTGTTGAGGTTATCGACTTGACCATTGTGGGATTTCTTGGTGCTCTCCAGATCTTGAATCGTCTTTTGAAGATCAGCGACCTGTAAACCGTGGGCTTCATTGGACTGGTTAATGATAGTTTTCAACTCCTGAAGTTGTTTATTCAGATTGACAACTTCTCCTGTATGTTGTTCATGGATGCGAGAAAGCTCCGACTCCAAGCCACGAATAGTTTGTTGCAGACCAGCAACCTCCCGCTCATGATGCTCTCTCAACTCCCTTGCTTTGTGGCTCTTGCTTTCGGATTCCGCCGAAGTTTGCTTGAGCTGATGGTCGATGGCACGGAGCTGATCACTATGCTGTTTGAGTAATTCGTTCTTGTGATGCGTATGTTCGTTTTCAAGCTTCGAAAGCTGTTCAGATAGCTCTTGTGCATGGCGTTGTTGCAGAGATTGGTTGGTTTGTTGAACCTTTGACAACTCAACCGCATTGTATTCCTTTGTCTTTCGGTGGTCCAACTGTTCTTGATCAAGCCTCCGTTGGATGCTAACGAGACCAGACTCCAATGTTTGAAGGTTCTGGGTGCGATCTTCAATTTCTGCACGCAATGAATCAACAAGCTCTCGCGAAATTCCCTTTTCGATACCATTGGCAACAACAGAAATCTCAAACCCGGGTTCACGGTCAATGGCACGAAGTAGTCGGCTGAAGTTATCTTTCAGGAACTCAACGAATGAGCGGTCAAAGAAGACCTCCGGCAGTCCACCCTCGAGCTGACCACCAGCGGTTTGCGGAAGGACCTCAAAGTCGCGAATCAAGGGACATTCTCGAAGTCTTGTGATCTTGTCAATATACTGCTCCCTGCCAAGCTGTTCGATGAGTAGCTTATGGAGCGTGATGCGAGGGATTGGTGAATCTTTTGTGGAGAACTCATAAATAACACCCAATAGCACGGTGCAAAGGCCGGGCACTAATTTACTGGGGGCACGCTGGTGCTTGATTTCCTGCAACAAGGTTTGAATGCAGCTACCCTCTCCGAGAAGATCATTAACGACGTCTGGGTCTTCGAAAAGCCACCCACAGAGCAACGTCAGATAACCGACTGTGATCCTTTCATCATCGCCGCGCTGCAGACCAGTAATCAGGTTTCCAACGACAGATTGGACACTGGTGACCACCTCTTCGCCGCTCTCAGCATCACCCTCAGTAACAGCCATGGCCGTTGCCTTCGCCTCTGCATCATCGAAGAGCAAATGGAACATCAGAATACAGGCCATCCACACTTGATACGGATCGGCATTCCCTCGCGCTTCTGGTGCAGTGAGCAGTACAGATAGAATATTGGGAATCCGATCCTGCCCGCTGGTATGCCCTTCAATCGCTCGTCTGAGCACATGCATACGAATTCCAGGATGGTGGGCGAAAAACGCTTTCATACATTCGCAGGCAGCAAGTCGTGCGTCCAAAAGGTTGTTGGGAGCAGGCTCGAGGCTGAGCTTCAAAAATGCTTCAATGACATTGATGCGTAAAGGTTCATTCGCATCACCATTGGCAGCCTTGTTGCCGCCGGGGTAGGAGCCCCACAGAACTTCGATATCACCAAACCTTTCCTGCAACGGTGAGTTGCCGCGGATCAGATCGGCACAAGTTGATAAGGCCTGTATTTGTTAGGTAAACGTACAGGCAAGGATGGGTAATCGTAACATCTCACCTTTGAGGTCACGCTAACACTGAACCTTTGACCGAACGCAATGCTAAGAACTTGTTCTGTCACGCCATTCTGCCAGAATGCAGTCTGATTAATGGGTGTGCTCATACCACCGCGAATTAGGAACAACTGAATGATGGCCATGAGGCCCCAGACATTCTTATCTCGGTGGACCAGAGTCCACTGTGGCGCCGGCTCGTTATCTTCTGGCTCCTGCTGACATTCATGAAGCAGCTGTGTTACTTTTTTCACACAACCTGTCTCGCGGAAAAAGGATTGGTTGGAAACATTGAACCTCAACAAGTGAGCTAACAAGGAGAGGCAATCTTCCACTACCTCGGTCCCATGAGTCAATGCTCCCTCCGCCTCGATAAGTGAGAAAAGAATTTCAAATGCATTCTCGAATGCCACCAGCTTCTGTAGCTCTTCCGATGCGGGGGTTAGGGCAATCAACAAGACAAGAGCCTCTAAAACAGGTTGTCAGCTCCAACCTCTCATGTCCCACTCACATGGACGCAAATATTCGACAAGACATACCGTTACGCACTGGTTCCCTCGCATCTGTCAGGACACTGACTAGCTTGGAAATACCCAGCGGCGCTGTAAAAATGCATTCTTGTGTTCGTTCTGGTCGTGCGCTGCAAATATGGGAAATCAATTGGAGCGAATAAAGGCGGGAGTAAAATTCGCGGGCTTCTAAAAGGTCGAGTAGGGTAGTTATATTATCTTGTCGCTTTGAAAATGTTAGTTTATCGTCTCGGGACTGAGGTCACGATGCGTACCTGAGTGAATTCATCTGCCAGCCACAGAGCGATTTCGTCCGACGCTTCAGGCTAAATCTATACATGAGCAACTCGAGTGGAACTATCCAGAGTACAAAATACCCACACTAGATTCATCAGGCGTGAAGAGCATCAGAAGGGTCTCGAGGACCACTTTGATAGTGTCCACATCTTCACTGTCATTGCGTAAACTGCTGATCAATGACCGTAGGCCACCGGAAGCGACTGATGCAGGGTAGAGTTTTGCAAAGCTTCTTAATCCTTGGATTGCTGCCCGACGATCTTCCAATAATGTAGCACTCTGCAATCTACTGCTTAATACGTCGATTGTGTCCGTAGCCGTTTGTTTGGCCGGAGCTTGCGACTCGAGGATTCGGAACATGGTAGTTGATTCGCAATATCATGGTCACTGCCGGCCGAGGGCGTAGAAATTGGTAGTCATCTATGACAGAGCAAAAAAATGAAAAAAAATGAAGAGGTTGGTTGGTTCGCTGATTGCAATAGAAAGCTGTCCTATTGTACTGCCCAAGGGGGCTAAACGCCGATCTTGGCTCAACCCGCAGAATCGCTGACCGCCCGGAATTTATCTTTTCGTCAACGGCAAGCTCACTTTCACTACTCTCAACCTGCACCGCGATCAGGTTGCGGTTGAATCTCTTTTTTATCTCTATTACATGCTCTAGGGGAGTCTGTGTTTTATCCGAACTGCCTCAGATTGCGTCTCATTCACGAACAGAGAGATCGCGCCTGCGCCTGCACGAACGCCGTCAACTGATTGCAACATAAGAGTACCAGAACTCTCCCAATTTTGACACCACGAGTGTCGCATTACCATCATGGGTGTCCCCGCGCTGTTCCGATGGCTGTCCAACAAGTATCCGAAGATCGTCTCTCCGGTTATTGAGGAGCA